TCCGTGCAATTGTTCTCATTTAAAACAAAAGAAAATTCTCCCTTTGTTTTCATGAATTTTGTATTCGAATATTCAAATTCGGAAAATGATATTCAAATATTCAGACATCCGGATATTCAGCACAGATATCCGGATATTCAGCACTGCCCCAACTACCGGCTACGTCCACCAATGTGAAGTTCCACGTACATGTAGTTCCTTGTTTGACATTCGACATTTAACGTTGAACAAGTAACCGTTTGATATTCGAACGTTGGACCATTTGGCATTCAGGATGCACACCCCTGGAGAGCGTGTCATCTACGACATTTGGATAGTGACATGTTTACACACGATAATTATAGGGAGCCCATGCACTCGCCTTACAAAATTCGAAAAAGAGGAATATTATTAATAACGCTGAGGAATACTACGCCCCATCCACTCAGTACAGTGTAGAGCCATGGAGGTAGACATACGACTACGAGCCCACACAACGTGGAACTGGAAATAGCTGATAAACACGTCCAGTAACTAGTAATGACCTAGAACTAGTCTAGGGCCTATGTGTTTTTATTCCTCCATGGTGCAACCTACAAGTAGTCTTTGTCTTACCTCTAAGCTTCAAGTATCCTAGTCCCGAGCTACAAAATCAGACCCTGCTCTGCAACGCAACCAAACCAGACGCCTGTCGCAAGCGTGGGATGTATTTTCTGTCACGTCTGTATCTGGCGCGTAACGTGAAACGTGACTGCCTGTCAATGTCAGGTGCGCACGGATGCCACACTGTGCTGGCGGCCTGCTGCTACAGTATAGCGGCACATGATACACATATCGCTTTAGCTCTGCCCGTAAGTCTGGTGCATGCACACGTGATAAGCCTAAGGTTTGTCTAAAATTCACGTCTGTCGTAGTTGACAAGTACGGGAACTATACCTTTCAATCAGGAACTCCCAACGAGCCAATCAACTGGCACTGACAAAAATCCAACAAGTGGCGGACTAGCCAATCAAATGACACGATGTGGAGTGTAGGAAAAGTTTGCAGACAAAAGTTGGGGAAGGGGCAACGGGGTATGGCCCTTTGAGGACAGATGGAACTTTTTCGTGTAAAAAGCTCCTTAGCCCGTACTGTTCAAATGTTCAAATGCCCGTTCAAATGTACTGTCGTCCTATTAATTTTGAAGAGGGTTATATTTTCATGCAGTATTAAGTAAAGTGGGTTTCATTATTTTGATGTTTTGAAGCTGCTGGGGATTTTCAACACGTTGTGAATTATCCTTCTACTTCTGTTGTCACAGCCAGCCGTAGTTTGAGTAGAGGCAAACACAGTAAGGGAATTAAAACTCTTTTGGATACATAGCGCTCGCATACGAGAGGACAAAAATAACATGCCAAAAGTTACTCAAGGTACACATATACAATCACATCTGTGCTTTTCACCAAGTTATATTCTGCAGATTTTATTCATTCAATTACGTCAGTTGTTTCTTAGTAAATATTTAAGTTCCTCCTGGTTCCACAATTCATTTTTAACTATTACAGAACATTAGAAAAGTCATCTCAAAATGATGTTCTAAAATTTCCACAATTTAAAAATACACATATTTCAACATTACTTCCATATTTTGTATGACTTGTATGACAAAGATGCCTTATTTTCACTATTTAATATCAAATGAAATGTCACTTTGCAAGGTTTGAAATAAAATTTATTCAAATAACATTAATCTATCATTTTACATCACACTGCATCGACAGCAGTAAATCGACAGGCCTACTAGCTTTTTCATGTATACTGATGAGTTAAAAACACAGACACACAAGGGACCTCTACAGACACAAGTAAATTTTTTAACTGGCCTTCAAGATGTTTCTAGGTGATTTTTACAACATTTCTGCACCTAACAAATCTGAGAAACATTGACATGGCTGGCCAATTTTGCAACAGATTGCCAAAGCATGTCGTAGGGTGGGTCATACATAAAAAGAAACCCATAATTATCGAAATGAACAATGAAGACAGCCTTGTGGGACTGAAATAGTATGGATATCATTGAAGCACCCCCCACCTTGGAAAGAGTTTTCTATCTTCCCTGGCAATGCCAATTTCAAATTTGTATTAATTATCAAAGGCTTGAAAACTTTGACCACACTGTTTTTTTTTCAGGCTTCATTCCGACTACACTACCATTAGGTATGCTAATTTTGAAGATTCAGAGAAAAATTTCAAATGTTGCTGTTTCACACCAATGAAAACCAGACAGCCTTTCATGCCAGCCATGACAGAGCTAAGTTATTACCAATTGGGAGTATGAAGCTCTGTAACTCAATTACATGCCATCTCTGACGCTCTCTTAATTCAATTACCCTTTCCTGAGACTGGGGATGTAGCCAGGGTTCAGTGCCATTCACACAATACACCTGTGGAGGAACATCACTGCAAGAATGCAGACAGTTCATATCATAAAATTACTGGTGCGGTTGAAATGGAATCCCCTCGTCTTGTGAGAGGCAACGATAACAAATTTTTTTGTAAGTTGTTAAATCTTACAGATCAACGAATACTATAAGCTTGTGGATTGAGAATGCCTCACATTTAAATAATGATAATAATTTAGATGAACAAACATACGACTGTAAATTGTACGTCAAAGAGCATTTTAAACTATCATTGTCATTTTCTTGGCATTTCTTAATAACAGAAAACTGATAGCCTTAATATATCACCTAAAGAGATTTCCATGAATATATTTGACAACACACCTTGTTAAAAGGGTTGGACAAAATTTTTTGCACTTTTGTTGACAAAATACAAAGTGGTAAGAGTTGAGGATTATTCCCCACACAAGTGGAACCTGAGAATGGACCAAAAAGAGTGGGCAAACAAATTTCTAAATTGTTTTCATCCTGCCCTCTCCTTGGAGAAAACTTGGCACTTGCTGGCCCAGGTCTGAGTCACTCCTGCCCCCCCCGATATAAAACTAATCATTGCGCCCTCTATTGTCTCAGCACTATATACACATGTACAATCAATATCAAATTAAGCATATCTACATACAACATAGCTTGTATAGTGAGACTTTGTAAAATTTAAATTTTTCATTATTGATAACAATTTCAGTAAAATAATAATACCTAAATTATCAGACACAAATATTGCTGGCTTAAATTTCCAACTCTAACAAGTGGAGTCATATCAATTATTTATAGGGAAAGTCACATCTATTAATTATAACTGACTGTACTCAGAGTGGGCCTAGATTCCATTTATATAGTGAAAGACATTGCATCCCAAGCTAAAAGTGCAAAATTATGCAAAACATTTTTTTTATTAAAAGTACAAAGCATCATAACTGTCAATTATGACCAAAAAAAATAAATTGCAGAGTGTTAATTCCAAATACTTTGTACCACTACAAAGAGTTCCAGCTGAAGGTTCCCATCTAGTTATAAACTTCTCATTGAATAATCTAACCTAGCCTGACTTGAGAATGTTCTGCGGTGCACTGCATACAGAAAATTCAATAGATCCGAACGGAGTGGTCATCTAACATGAATAACATTTCCATGAGGTATATGTGTATCAAAGTTGGAACTCGGGGCACAGTCTCATGACGACCCTTATCAGGCCCAAAAAGCATTCCTGAAAATAACCTGATATGGCACATATTATCAGCTTTGCCTCAGACTCTATGCATCCATGCATGTAATAATGTCATGTCCCATGTCACAACAGTCCACTCAAAATGTCACCAGCAACCAAGCTCTTATATATGTCAACAATGCTGTAATAGTGATATATAATTTAACACATTCAGTAATATAAAATATAACTCTGTGGTAATGAAAAGATTAAAATGTATGCTTTCTTAAAACCTGTACCAAAAAATTAAATGTTTATATTTAGCATTCTAAATATGACCAACTCAATTTATTTTAAATAACTATCCCTGCAACATTATCACACTTTTTAAGAAAAGAAAAAGGTATCACATCCAGAACAAAAGACAAGATCATTACATCATTAATATTTTTATTACCTTAATCCTACAAGAGCCTAGAAGGGGGAGGGGATCGCTGCCTATACATTTTCTCAACTTTTGTGGCAATGCATTTTTTAATCATGTTGAACATTCAAGAAATTTTTCACTGATACATTGTGGCTATTTTGACACCACGTTTTGTTTAAATTGGGCACAATGCCTTGAGAAATGTATCTTTTCCCATGAACTCAATGCACAACGGCTGGCACACATCAGAATGACAACTTTTAAAAAACTAATAAAAACCCAAAACCGCGTCTAATTGAGCTGACACTTCACAAACACACTCCAAAATGATATCTCTATATGTATGCCAAACTTTAAAAAAAATCACTACTAGGACTGGCTGCAGAGGACTGAATACCCTTCTCCATTGAGTTTATGGATTTCAGTGTAATTCTGTATCAGTTTTTCTGCATCACACCATAAAGGGCTGAACTCAGTAAAAACATTTCCACTGTGTGTGGAAGAAATACCAAATGCTTAGAGTTAGACTATATTCAAGCCACCTAGCCCTGGGAGAAGTGAATATCTGAACAGTAAATTGCTAAAAAATTGACATATCTAATTTTCTAGGTACCATATTGATTCTTTTCATCAATACACACAGAAACATACAGAAAACAAAACAGCATGTTGAAGCCGGCTTTATCAGTAATAGGTCACGATGTGATTACAAAACTTTGGTGATCAGAACGGTACCCCAACTTTGATTTTGTGTTGTTGTCGAGCACCTCACAAGTACCTCACACATATTTTTCACTGGTAACTGTCACAAGCACTTTCATTTTTAACAGTGAATGAAAAATAAACAAAAAATGTCTTTGGTACATTTTGAAATCAATAGCTTTTGGTTTTTATCAATAGCGAGTTACTTGTGACATACTTAAGAACACTTGCGTACACACGAGGAGCAATTTTAACCAGCTGACAATGGTATTTTTTCATGGCAAACTCGAGAAATACAAGATTTACTTTGGCCAAAAATTTGGACTTTTTAATGAAACCAGAGTCTGTTGCTGAGTTGAACTTCATAAATGATGATCCTTGCCAGTTATTTGTTCTAGATTGTTTATTTTTTTACCCACTGCCACGTTTTTTAAACTCTGAGAAAAAGTCACAGGGTTATATTTGGTACATCAACTGGCTATGGTGAAGAGGATGCCTGAGAGTTGTGAACATGATCAACCTTCATGGACTAGTTCAAGCCTTTGTATGTCTTTAAAATCACTGAAACATGGCAAAATGTATGCACGTCCCCCAGTTGTGGACACAAAAACTTACTGTGCCATAATTGCTAGTCCTCCATGGAGTTAATACACATCCCTCTGGCATAAACTAATTAAGTACCAGTGAAGTACTCGACTACAATACTGGAATACTTCCATCTAGAGGGGTTTAACTTTGGAGTTCATCTTCCCTCTGCATGCGAGCAAAGTTGATGAAGACCTGTTCCAAGGTGGTCTGGCTGACAGAGTAGTCCTCAATGTCGTAGCGTGGCTTGGCTCTCTCCATGGTGCCAAAGACCTGGGCCCAGGTCAGCTGGGTGTTGGTGATGTGGTAATGCACCATACTCTGGTGCTCGTCTTTTAATCTGCTGCCTGTAATATCATTTTGGCAAGAAAAGGCAATATGAGATGATATGTACAATTATATCTACAAAGAGATGCAAATAGAGTCAAATAAGTACCTGTTGAGAAAGAGATCACAAATGTATTAAACAGAAATCTTACAGTTGCATAAATTTTGATGCATGGCAAAAAGGTAAGGTCAAATTCTGCCAAAGTGGCACCTGAATCACACAGGACCAACAAGGGTTGTTGGAGAATTTTTACATAGTAAGCACTCACCTGGGAACTGAGTCTCTATGAACTGTTTCAGGGGCATCATGTCCGGAATGCCATCCCGGGAGGACACCTTGGCCAGTACGGTGAATCCTTCGCCAAAGCGGCTCTTGAGATGTTGTGTGCTACCGAGGCATTTGATCTGGCCATTGACCATGATGGCCAGACGAGTGCAGAGAGCCTCACACTCTTCCATGCTGTCACAAAATCCACATGTAAATTAGGGGTGTGATGACTTGTCAGTGCATCGACAATTAACATGTGACTATGGGACAACATGGCATAAGAATACGGAAATCTGTCAACCAGAACTTGACTTTATAAACAAACTTTAACACAAAATATTAAAAATCTGAATCTGTCTAGAACACATTGCATATTTGTTGTAGAGCAATATTAACCATTTCAAAATGTTAGTAATCATGAGTCACAAGAAGTTGCCAGTATCCTGCAAAGATGTACCCTCGTATTTTCCAAATATACTGTAAAACTCGGCCTTAATGCATCAAAATTACACCAAACATCTTCATATACTGTAGGTGATAATTTAAATCCAGTCTAAGCAGATTTTTTAGACTTTCAGAAGCTTTTATCTACACATTGGCACTTGCGTCACTGGGTAGCACCACTTTATCAAAAAACTACAATTTTCTCCTTGATTATTATTCCACTAGGGGCTGGCAAGTTCACTTTTGACTTGCTAATGTTCCAGGCTGGTGCTTGCGTGACAGCCAGAGCATCACCTGCAGTTTAGTTTACCTGTGAGATGTCAACACTATGCAGCGCCCCTCGTTGCGGACTTGGCAGAGGGCTTTCCAGAGCAGTCGCTTGGTGACTGGGTCCATGCCGGTCGATGGCTCATCCAGGAAGACAATGGGTGGGTCTCCGATCAGTGCTATGGTGGTGCTCAACTTGCGCTTATTGCCTCCACTGTTAATGGGTAAAATTCTGCAGTTAGTCGTAAGGAACTCTGCAGTGTTTTCGAAGTTGTATACTTTGAACTTGGAGTGGATTAACAAAGTATTGAAAAGGGGAGAAGGGAGTAGAAACCTAGGCAGGGTGGATGCAAGAGTTTCTTGCAGGGGAGAAGTTTTGGGAAATTTTGTTCATATAAAGGGGTGGGGGAGGGGTTTCCTACATGTAGTTGTCCCCATTGGTGAAGCCATTTTATCTCTGTTTATCCTAATGATTTTTGAGGGTCTCCCAACGTTTAGTTTGAGGAAGGCCCCTTCCAAAGCAAATTGCCAATGGAGATCCCCCCCGGATCCATGCCTGAAGGGGTTGGGGCCCACTTATAGACCTCTCAAAAATACTGTTGAAGTTTAAGTGTAGTATATTTCTGGCTAATTTCATACACTGATTTATGGTGCACATGGCCTTGATTCACCACCAGGTGAGCCTTCAAAATGACAGGGTCGGTCTCAAAGCAATAGAAATCCAAAAATATCATCCCAGTCTTAAATGAGACCCTGGTCTGGGGGGGCCTTACAATTTTACCATCACTTATAGATGGCGCACACCTGGTGGTAAATCAAAAGCAGTGATACACCTTGGTATCTGCTGCACAGATCTCTAGCTCCTAAAGGTATCTTTTCATATTGTTTAATTACAGAAAAATTAAGTGACACTGAATTTTTCGGATGACTGGACTCCACGCTTTGCATGCTTAGCCCAATTTCGGCTGGCCGACACAGCATTACCAAAGAAGTTATGCAACAGATTATATGAATGCAAAGAACACAAAGGCACAAGAAAGAGGAAAAGAGGGGCGGAGCATGCTAGCTTTCATTCTCTTGCAAACAACCGAAGCAACACACAGCTTAACCTCCACCACCCCTCTTCCATCCATGTTTCTGAATTTTTGGCGTGGGGTTAAAGGTCCTTTGATATGCTGTGGTGATTGGTTAATGCTGGAGCCACTTCGAAGTTAGGGACGTTTTTAACGTCCTAATGAGAACTGCTTAATTTTCAAGTAGAAATGGTGGCCACACTATGACATGTAAGGTTAAGGGAGAAATGTGCCATTTCATGCCTTCTAGCGACAGTAAAAGCACCCCAATACAAATCTAAAACAGTATTACTTGAATGGTGTTTAAGGTTCTGGTATGTTTCCTCCATTGCTGAGCTTGCCCGTGAGAGGTGGTCTACATAGGTCAGGCATACATTTCCACTTTTCCTAATAGTAGGTTGTTGTGGTTTTCCGTATCTGGTGACCACCAGCAGCAATGTTGGATTGCATACATGGGCAGGTTTAAACAGACCTGAATATTGCCTCTAGTGTAGACTTAGGTCAAAAGATGAAATTCACATGTATGTTGCAGACTATACGGCGATAAGTAAAGTTGCATTTTCGTATCCAAATGTAAAACAGTAGATATGATTTAAGAGTCAAATTCTGTTTAGTACACCAGTACTTATATTTCCAAAGGTAATGTAATATAAAATAAGTGTTACCTCCAAGATGGAAAAATCTGGTTATTAAGAAAAGAAACAACAACGTGATATATAACATGTCTATTGCAGATTAAGTTTTTGATTTAAAAGTAATTTAAAGTTTGTAAAGATATATACAGAAACATAAGGAAAGAAAGGACCACTTAAGCCCCCGAACCAATGTGGCTTCAAACGTTTTATTTCCGAGTCCAGTGAATCCATAAAGCAATGGAGGACAATAGTCTTCACAACAACTGAGAAAGGCTTTAACTTTTTACAAACTTTTATGAACAACCTTTATACCTGTAGGTCTTGGTTTGTTTGTCCGCGTACTCTGTCAGACTGAACATGGCAAGAAGCTCCTGCACCTTGGACTCAATGACAGCTTCCTTCATGCCGCGCAGCCGGGCGTACAGACGTAGTGTCTCGCGTCCGGTCAGCTGATCAATCAAAGCGTCAAATTGCGGACAGTAGCCGATGCGTTGCTGGACCTGTGCAAACCAAATAAAAAAGACCAGCAAGATCAAAAAAACAGTGAAGTTCCCTACTTCACAAGTCCAATAAGACATTTTTAGGCCATTTAAAAGTAATTTATCAAATAATGTATGAATGCAATTTTGAGATAAAAAGGATGCCATGCAGGATTTCCGTCATGTGAAAGTCTATCTTCACACTACAGTATGTTTTCAAAGCAACACAGAGGGCTGTTGCATACCAATGCAGTTCGCTGCCATACCACTGTCTGCGTCCAGACTTAGGGCCCAATTTCACGGAACTGCTAGGCAAAATTGCTGAGCAAAATACACCTTAGAACCAGTCACTGCAGACATACACTGCATGAAAATTTGGCTGGTTACCCACGTGTGCTGATCAAATCTCTTCTTTGCTTAGCAAATGTTGGTGCTTGGCAGCATCTATGAAATTTGCCCCAGTGGCGTTGGGCTGACACAACAGTGGGTTTGTACACTTTCTGCTGGGCATGGGCAGCAGGTTTATGCATGAACATGCACAAGCAAGAGGTCTACAGTCCTTATGTACCAGTGTTCTGTAGGCCCTAGGCACGAGTGCGTCATGGCCCAACTCCACCCTAAGTGCAAGCACCAATTCCATCTACAGTCTTTCATATTTGGCATTTCACCTGCTTGATGTTACTTTTAATGTTGAACCCGTCCACCAGAGCGTCACCATCAGTAACCAACTCGTCTCCAGTCAGCATCTTGAAGGTGGTGGTCTTGCCGGCACCGTTGACACCCAGCAGGCCAAAGCACTCACCAGCAGGGATCCCCAGTGAGGTGCCCTCCACGGCCACCAGCGGGGGCTTGCCAGAGCTGGAGTAGACCTTGCGCAGGTCCCTCAGGATTAGTACGTCCGTTAGGGATTGACCGCCCAGGATGCGGGACTTCTCTGTGAGGACGTCCTCATCCTGCAGAGGAAAGATGGTAGACGCACAAAAGACAGGTATAATAAAGGATGCTAAATCCATCTGTGGCTCTTTTGAACACGAGGGCTGGTGTTTGAATGCATTACTTGTGTTGACATGAGTATAATCTTGCATGCATGAAAAAAAGGGATAGCGATCCCTGTGTGAGAGAGAGCATACACTCGATTAGGATGGGAGTATCTTCTTGAACCAAGCAGTTATTTCAAGATGGCAGGAAGGTAAACCATTCCATTTGCATGCAGTGATCCTTGTGCACAGGCAAACATTTTCTTGTGCCTCAAGAGTCAAGAGTAACACATGTCAATGCATCCATGTGGCCCACATGGTGTAGCAGTGCATACTTAGAGGTGTGTGGATTTGTTCAAAGAACGCCACCAGAGTTTTCTCTCCAGTTTTTCTTCACTATGCAAAAACAAAGGGCGTGTCCACACAATTTACATATGTAAACAAGTTTATGTCTATGAGGCTTCAAGAAGATAAGAACAGTATGTGGTCTGCTCAGGAAGGACAAGTTACATGGTGTTTAGTGACCTCACATTCTATCACAGCATAATGGAGTTTTAACCTATTCTTGAACCAGTTAATGGGATTTTGATTAAAAGAAAAAACAAAATGGCAGCAATGAAAATAAAGATAGTGCATTCATTTGAATGTCACTGCCATCATAAGAAACATGGAACACATTATTTTGTGCACATTCAGATGAATATAATCACATTTTCTTTGTGACCATCGCATGTGTGTAAGTGCATTATGTGCTCTATTACCCATCCGAGGGTCCTATGAATAGTAGCAAACTATGATCTAAAGCCCAAAACAAAGTTTGATCAAAGACCAGTCCACAACCAGTGGTTAACTGACAATGAACCTTGCGCATGGAGCTCAAGTTTCAGAGCAAACATGTCTAGTCCAACTACAGTCAAAATAATATTGCAAAATTTCACTGGTTTTTAGATCATCAAGATATTACTATTTTACTGATAAGGGCTTATGGCCCATTTACACTGAAGGGTGGTAAAGTAATACCTCGATGTAAAATATACAACACAGTGGTTTCCTATGGGACTGCTTTCACTGAGTGGATGAACCACACGATAGGGTGTTTTGAAACCCAACCAGTTTTTCGAAGGTACCCTGCTTTAAGATAGATGGACCCTCACTCACTAGAGCAGTTTCCGGCAGCAGTGCTACCTGAGGATCCATGGGGGATCTCCCGCAGAACAGGTCCCTCAGGCGGTATCGCAATGACCGCAATATGCCTTCCTCTACCAGAATGACCAAGAAGAAATACAGGGCACCAGTGCCCGCCATGAACACCAACTCTGAACCGATACCTGGTGCCTTGAAGCCCAGATAGTTGTCATTAAACCTGAAGAATGAATCTGCAAAAGGGAGGGAAAGAAAACATTTGTAACTGAACCCAACAAAGTGAGTTGAAGGTTCTGGAGCCATTTTTGAGCCGCTGACCTTTAAAACAAATCTCACACAGTGTATTAGCATAATTGAGTTCCCTAAACATTTGTCATTCATACACTGGCCACCGGAATGCAACAGAAAGGTCGGAATAATTGTAAACTTACTGTTTGCGACAAGATCGGGGTCATTACAGAAATATCTGCTGAATTCGTCCTTGTTGCAGATCTTCAGAACACCATAGTTCTCGTAGAAATCAGACAGGCCTTTGCCCAGGCAATAAGACGGTGAGATGGAGAACACCCATGTGAGAGCATCGGCAACAGACTGCAGATTCAACGAGGGTATCTCAAGAATGTTGACTGCCATAAAGGCTGCAATGCCGACGATGATGTTGAACATGGTCAGGCGGACAAAGGCCGTGGAGGGCACAGAGAAGAGGAAGGAGAAGAGGTACATGAGGGGGATGATGGACCAGCCATGGAGGAGGAGGAGGAGCAAAATGGCAAAGAAACGGTAGTCGCCAGCATAGGCCTCGATGCCAAAGGCAGCAAACATTACCACGATAAGGATGCAGGGCACTGCGTAGTTGATGAGATCCCAGAGGAGTGTGGACAGCCAGAAGTTCAGGGAATGCACGCCACTCACGAACTGCACATGCTTGGCCTTGCTGGCATTCTCCTTGACCAGGAAGAGCACAAAGCTGCTGGCCAGGAAGGACATGCCAAAGAGCATGTTGAAGGCGATGGTGAACCCTGTGAAGACCTGGCTCTCCAGGTCATCGTTGGCCTTCTCGTGGAAGGTGCGGGGCAGCGGGTGGTTGACGGTCGTCACCACGTGCTCCCCCTTCAGGTAGTACCTCAACAAGGCATTGTCGATGGCACTGAGCGCAGCCGCTGGGGTGTGGTACGGCTGGTCATTGAAGAACGCTGTGGCCATAATCTTCTGCTTCTCCTCAGCAAAGACCGCTGCAGCCAGATTCTTCCGGTTGAACGTGACAAGTTGTTTGCTCCCAATATCAATCAAATAGCCCACCATGCTCGTGGTGTTGGCATCGGTGACATTGTTGACGAAGATGGGATTCTGTTTTAGGTGCTCCAGGTAATCCACGTAGCTGTGGGCCAGCGGCTTCACCAGCTCCTGCTTGTTGCCTGCCAGGAAGTAGGGCACCGTTGTCCGCCCATAGGTGTGGATGTCCACCATCAAGGGTGGTGACTCGCCGATGGCAGGGAAGGTCTTCTCAGCCACCACCGCAACGGCCGTCATGAACAACGGGATCAGGAGTTGGACAGCTATGACCAGAAGGTTGCGCCAGGTGTGGTACATGCGCTTCTGGAACATGGCGCGGAACTGTTGCAGGTACAGTACTCTGCCAGTGTTACGCTGCGGTAGAGCAACCAGGGCTGTAAATTGCAGAAAAAAAGGAAAACATTTCTTTGTTTTAACAAGATGAGTGAAAGACATATTTTACGGTTACCCTTAAATTGCTTTATATGGTGTATTATGCATTTGGAACAATGAATGTTCCCCAAAGCAGTTTCTGTGTTGCACGTGAATAATTAAAAGATGCCTGAGCCTTTTTCAAAATTGCCTTCATCAAAATTGTCTGTGCCTTCATCTCCACCTCCAGTCAGTCTTCAAAGATTTGGTGGCGGAACCAAATCAAAACACTCTTAGCTGTGCTTCCTCATTTTCCTCAAAATGCCACGGGGTGCACACTGCTGGTGACAGGTCCTCTGCTGATTTTTGCTAAGCTTGTAAAGTTACTAAGAAATATTTTCTGCTTAACTACTCTGTGAAGATTTTCCTGCCATGTTTAGCAGAGGTATTTTGCCAGTGGTTAGCAGAGCTGTGATTCGTGCTCCAATCTTTGCCAAAAAAATAAATAAAAATGCTCTTACGTTCCGTGTCTGAAGATCCCTGTTCGGCATCGGGCAAAGTCACTGCAAACTTGGTCATGCCGTTGACCATTTGTGCACGATCACTTTGTATGTGGTCACCATTAGTCGTGCCAAGTGAACTGGCAGACCCGTTGCTTTCCATTAGGCCATTCTCAGCAGCAACTACAGCACTTTCTTCTTGGTCAACTCTGTAAAAATACAGTATTTGATTCAGCTATCAAACCAACATCCAGCGTGTGATACATTCACCATAGTCACTGTCTTGCCAAAACTATCTGGTGTGAATTAGTGTCTGGTCATAACCAACAGTATGTATGCAATGTATGGACACTATCTGGCCAACTACCAACAACAGCATGCCATCATGGAGGCCAGGCCAAAGGGGGGGGGATAAAATTCTAATGAGAAGATACTTACTTGAGGAACACTTCCTCCATGGTGGTGACTGATGCTCCATAGCTGTTAATTCCCAGCCCGGCCCTCTGCTGCTCCAGGTCGTTGAAGAGCTGCTCAAACTGGCCCACGGACTCCTCGGGCAGGATGTATGACAGCTCTGACCCCACGTTGCTCTCTTCCTGCATGCCCGGCACGTGCTTACTAATCAGGGCCGAGACCCGTGCCACGTCGCAGGTTGGCGTCTTGGCAATGGTCATGTGATAGCCGACACCTGGACAAGGGTTTTCACAAACCAAATCCTCAAATTACATGTAAATCCAGATTCCCCTGACTGCATTGTTGTTATAAAACATGATTCTGGGCAAGCCTTACACCATCTGGTCGAAGCACATCTTGAGGAAAAAAGTCCAAGCACATCTTGAGGGAAAAAAGTTGGAAAACAGCCAGCATGTCCTCTCAGAGGTAAAGTCATTCAAAATACCGTCATATGCACAAAAGCAAGCTCTGCATAGGTTCAATGTGCACTAAAGAGCTAGGATTATCTGACTACAGTGAAGGTGCACTGGCAATGCAAAATAGTAACCAATACAATTTTGTCAATCACCTTGGCAATGCCCATGACAAATGTGAACATATAGACAGGTTATTAGTTGACATGCCAACTGCCATCTGCTTCAGAGTGGTCTGGTGTCTTTGTGTCATTCTTACAGAAGCTTGTGTAGCACTGCATGAGCACATATCACCAATGCCACTTGGCATGTATGGTCTCCGGCTTGGGCATCAGGTGTCCAGTTATTTGCTGGTGAAGAGGTACTCATTTATGAAGCCAATACTAACCATATTTCTTCTTTAAGAACAGAGAGGTCCCAACGCACTGCAGTTCCCCCTTGGCCATGATGGCGATGCGGTCGCCCAGCAGGTCAGCCTCATCCATGTGGTGTGTGGTCAGCAGGATGGTTCGACCCTGTCGGTGTCGCTGCAGCAGGTCCCAAGTGAAGCGGCGGGCTGAAGGGTCCATGCCTGAGGTGGGCTCATCCAGCATGACCACCTGTTCCAGAAGCCAAACCAAGTCCAATCTACAGCACTTCATTTAACTACTTGCGGATATCATTAGCAAGACACAGGAGACAACTTTTGTAACACAGCCAAATGCCATACAAACTGACTTCTTAGAATCATTTGAACTATATTTGTATGACACTTCTAACCCTAACCTCATTTTTTGCAATACTAGAGAGCACTTCTACAGAGTGATATTTGCTACAACACGCCACATACAGTGGCCACTTTGAAGTTCAATGTACTGTCTACCTCCACAGAATTCTCAGCCTTTGTGTGTCTGTGCACAAAAGGAATGGGGTAAAGTCTGCCTGCAAATTCAGGTCACGCATGACGGTTTAACCCATCACCAATTCCAGTGCATGTGGATTGCCAGATCATATTTAACAACTAAGGATGTATAAGCCCACCAATATCTTTTAGCAACAGTTTTTCTAAAAATGTGCAGAACACAAAGTTAGGGCGAGACATACATGTTTTGTACATATGTTATAGAAATGGTTCTTACAAGTCAATTGCTTGTGCTTTTTCCCCTAATTTCACGATTTGGCTTATGTATATCCCATCTTTATAGAAACAAGGTGTTTTATAAAATGCGTGTACATTGCCTCAGCTACACATGACAAGATGACTGCATGTGTGAATAATGATTAGCATCCACTGGTATGTGCGCTAGATGATACTCAATGTACGTCGTACATTGAGAAATGTAGAATGGCATATTTCATGTGGTCTGCCTTAGGAACTACAATGTAGTTTGTCAGCTTCAAATAACTCAGAGGGCTAATATCAACTCTCCAACCTCAAACTGTGTGATATTTTTATAACTATACAGCTCTATATCTGGCATTACAGATTCTAATATCCAACAGAAATGATCCTTAAAATGATAAGCACAATAGAGACACTTGTTTGATGGTTTACCTTCGAGTCATAGATAAGGGCGATTCCAACACACAGTTTGCGCCTCATGCCTCCTGATAACTGTCTGGCCTGTGCATCTCTTTTATCCTGCAGTTCCAAGGCGTTGATGTAACTCTCCACTTCCTTTTTGACTCTTGAGGATGGGCAGCCCTTCAACTGAAAACACCACAAAAACCTTGACGTATATCAGTAATGTTGGGACATGCCCAGTTACATTCGGACCAATTTTTGGTCAACTGTACTTGCTATGGGGGTCCTTCTCCAAACAAACATATTGAATTAAAAGACAAGAACAGAAATGAGGCTAAATGTATGGGACAGCCATATCAAACAACGAGATGCGAAACAATGCAGTATGGTCTCAGTATTTGGAATGGGAATAGGAATTGGAGCATCTGGCCACTAGACACGCCAAACATTCTTGTGCTGTCTTCAAAGAAACCAAGCACTCGTTATTTTACTCAATCATCAGGCCCACACTTATTGCAAGTTTCCTGCGCAGAAACAACTAAGAGAATTTTACTTCCACTTGATGGGATGCCAGCCCATCCCAAGTTGCTCAACGGTTTGTGCTGGTACCCTCTTAAACACCTTGATGAGAGAGGCACGTAGGGATGCAGTGACTTTCCCCGGGCCACAATTGTGTCCAGCATCTGGGCTGGAACTCAGACCTTCTGATTGTGAGTCACAAACCCTAACCACTAGGTCACTTTTTCTTTCATATAAACGCACAAACATCCAAGAAACATCTGTACCTTGGCGAAAAAGTAGAGGTGTTCCCTGACAGTCATCCTGTCAAAGAGAACATCATGCTGGGGGCACAAGCCAAGGCTACACCGGACCCCGTCAATCTCAGTCCGTATGTCGTACTCATTGACCAGAGCCATGCCAGAGGTCGGTGGGAACAGCCCGGTCAGCATGGACAAGGTGGTGGTCTTGCCCGCCCCGTTGTGGCCCAGCAGGGCCGTGATCTGGCCCTCGTACATGTTCAGGGTTAGCTGCTTGACTGCTACCTTGTCTTTACCAAAGATCTAAAAAAGTTACAACTTAGGAATGTTAACAAATGCAAATGCACTGTTGAATGTACATCTGACAAGTGCAAAGTTGGACCTTTGCGCAAATTATTGTTCATAATCATAAGAGCATGTGAAGTTCAAACGTTATTAATTCTTAAAACAATCAACTCAGAAATAAGGAAAATGAATTTGCAATAAGTTTTAAGATGGTGCTGAGCAATTCTAACCTTACTCAAATGCCACTGCATTATATACACTGTGTACTATTAAACAAAATTCAGTTTGCCTTAAGGTATAAAACCAAGCTCAAAATAAAACTATGCATTAGGAACATGTTGGTCAAAGCTGATGAGAGCCATCTCCTTAATTTTTCTTCATATATCGCATTATTTTGAGACTGCAAGTTCCTGACAAATGCACTTCAAAATGAACTTATTTTACCTTTGTCAGTCCCTGTATCTTGACTCCTGCATGCAAGCCCTTGGGGTCTGGCTCAAAGAAGGACATGGACGGCCTTTGGCTATCTGGGGTCAAAGGTTCCTGAAATGACCGTTCTTCATTGTCCCTCACTGCAGGGCCACACCAATAGGAGACCTAACAAAACATTACAATCTTGAAATTATTCATGCTATTTTGTATCTGTAATCAGCTCAACACATTTTGGTTTGAAAAATGATTCTTAGTTGTTGATCACGAAACTCTCGTTTCTGTCATAAATACAGTTTTTTCCAAAAATTCTGTAAATGATCAGAAAAAAAGTTGAGTAACTGTATCTTGTCAAAATGCAGATTGTCACAAAATAAATTTGCAAAATATGATTTGAAATGGTTATCCCATAAACAAGGCCCACTGCCTGTCTTTTTTGTCTGTCTTCATATATGTGTGTGATACCCGGTACGTATATGAGGTCATAATGGTCAATGACAACACAGACTATTTGGCCCTGTTTGAGAAAAAGTGGACAAATATCCAATCAGCCTACTCCAGGAAGAACTTGCATGGCTACAACTTTCACAAAATCATACCTGGAAGGGGAAGTACCATTTCCGTGGTACCCCAAAGCTGCCGGGAAAGACTGCCTCAACATACCACATGAAGATCAGGTACCAAACTATGTCCACTAGAAACATCAGGAGGACGTCCAGGAATGAGAAGTTGTCGTCCTCAGACACTGGACGGTTGATGTTGGACCACTGGATACCCTCACCTGAAGAAGTTACAAGTCCGAGTTTCATTGTATGGGGTTATATGTGGAGAGTCCTGGTACTCAACGACAAAAGAACAACTGCTGTGTTGCGACATTACAGAAAAGCCCAAGTCAAATTGAAGATTTGACCTAAAATTTGATTAAATATTCAAATATTCAGTTGTTCAGTGAGTTTTTATTTAATCAAGTACTGAAATATCAAATATAACACATTGTATGAATTTTCATTCAGCATAGTTTGTATTTAGCACATGATGCAATTTAGAGATATTCTTATTTATTTGACAGCATTGCACAAACAAATATTTAAACAAAAAACAAATATTCAAATATGTGACAAGAGATTGAAAATTGAACTATTCCGCACAGGCCACATTACGGAAATGACTGCTATACATGTACACAAAGAATCATAACATATTTTGAGAAAGTGAGCCATTTTAGCTCTCAACAGTATTGGAAGTTGACAATTTAGTTATCAAGACAAAAACCGAGAGAAACTTGGATTTCTGTTTACTGAAAACATCAGCCTGAAAACTATTTCTGAACAAAGAAAATACGGTCCAGTACCTGTTCCTTCATACAAGCCAATGAGGTAGGCACCCATGGACATTCCGGTGTTAGCCAAGACGCAGGACACCATCTTGAGGCCACGGGACACGGATTCGTAACGCTGAATGATGAAGTAGTAGGGAACATAACTGAAGAACCAGATCAAGCCCATGAAAACTGCTCCAGTATTTGCTATAATACAAAAAATGAGCAGGAAATTCTAACTCAATGCCTTCAGTATGTTCCTGGAGCATGTAATCTGATGGTCTCATACAGAATTGCACAGTGTCACGTAGAGTCGTGTCCAAGCACCATTAGTCTTAACTTGAGTCAAAAGCCATTCAAAAATGGCCAGTTAAAATACATTTATGAGTTTCAAATTTCTAAGGAAATCAACAGTCTGGATCACTTGTTTGCAAGAAAGATAACTATTGTGTGATGCCCACAGCAATGTCACATCAATACCACATTGATTTGCCACGGCTCCAGACCAGAGCAGTTTTGTATGTTAGCATAACAATACATGAGATATATTGTTGTTCAATAAGCCACCAAACACAATATATAGACCATAAAACAGCTCATTGTACCAGTAATTTAGTATATTTCAGCAATCTTCATCTTTGTTTTGTCTCCTTGATACCATATATCAGACTCTAGCAACTTCAAGTCACTTATGACATGAAGAAGTGGAATTCATGGATTTTCCTACTCCCTACTCAATTGTTCAAAATGAGAGATGCGAACTCATAAATTAAACAATATTAAATAATGTGGCGTGACATGCAATTTGACTCATGGTTGCACAGATTTTTAATACAATACTGTCAGTGTCACCGAGGTAAAAAGGAACAGAAAACAACCATTGCCTATATGACATTTTAAAATCTTTTTTTATTCAATCAAAACTTTCTCCTTAGGGGCCTTAGGCAAAAAGACAATGAAGAAATAAAGTGTGGGATAGAGGAAGTGAGAAAGAAATACATGTAAGAACTGAATGAACCCAATGCACATGTCAGTCCGGGTAGGATTCAAACTGGCCTTACAAAGGTGGAAGGCGAGGACAGCACCAATCTGACTCCCCATCACCAGAATTAGACGACATAGATTTTTCCAACAAAATCTATGCCAAAAACCATAGATCTCTAAAACAGTGATCAAATGAAGCCTTAGCCATCACCTGTGGAGAACACAACGCTGACGGCAAAGCACTGGGCAATGATGACAAGGGAGTACATGAAGAAGAACAGCAGCAGCAGGGAGGGGGAGCTGTTGTTGATGACGGCACCATGGCTACCCACTGGAATCTTGTACAGCAAGGTGATGAATGCCACAGAGATGAAGAGGAAGAGAGTGTACTTCAGGAACCAGGCCGTCCAGTGTAGCCAGTTACTCAGACCCATGATCTTCATCGATTCCTGCGGTAAACAGAAAAAGAAAAGGGTCAAATCAATTGCTTTAAAGACAATTAACACACAAACATATTCATTGTCACAGAGGACAATCTACAATGCATGAGATTCATAAAGCAATCATGGATCCATTGCAAGGGGCAAGTTATCACGTGCAAGTATAAAGCATCAAGTTCAGAAGCACAGTCCTCTGAAAACTTTGTGTGAAGGAAGAAACTTCTGGATAATTTTCGAATACTGCTAAACCAACAAAAAAAATAGCACTTCAAAAGAGTTTTTTTGCAAAATCTCCTTTCTTTTTTGTTTCTTCAAGTCTCAAACAACATCTCTCCTCTTCAATTGCCAAAAGTCAAGTAACTACATTCATTCACATGTTCATGTACATGATAAAAAGAACTACTATTCTGATTCTCTTCCATAACATTATTCTCAAACTATTACAATGCATGTACGCAGCTCCTCAAGTCCCATACAAATTATTGTCATATTTTTCGCATCATAACACAAGGGCTGCCCAAGCTACACATGTAAAGATAGGGGACATGTTACTCTACATTTTCCAGCACTCAATGGCTGAGTTCGGACGGCTTGTTCTCATATGTTCAAGAACAGCTTGATTTGTTGTTTGTTGGTCAGCCGCCTGAATGTGTTATCGCTGGTATTTAGTGACAAACAACATGGCAGTGTCCATGTACATGTATGTTCTTCAAGGGGTAGTGTTAGGATAACTGGGCTGCACTCTTTTCTAATTAAAAAGGAACATCCATTTCTGTGTTATGGAAAAATATCAATGTTAAAAAATCAAAATCTCAGGAGTTTTTCATTGTGTTCCTGTAAAACATTGACTAGGAGGAGGTCATGTGTGATCCTGTTCCAAGAACAGTGTTCTTGAGTCGTGTTCCCGCTGTTTGAGTGCGAGAACAAGAAACCCATGTCAAGAACAGGCCACCTGAACTCGACCAAAAATGCTGTATGAGTGAGGTATTAAGAACAATTGTAAGTTGATAAAGGGTCTGTTTCCCATACCTCGGAAAGCTTTTATCAACTAAACCCTACCAAATCAAACATTTCTAAACTGATACTTAATCTAAGAGGTCTAATTTAATGGCTCTGCCGAACATTACACAAAGATAACGACAAATGCTATTCAGCACTTTTAACTGCTGAGTATTGGAGAAGATGAAATCCTCCAAAACTTTTCAGTTACAGTTTCATACAGCAAATATTCCATGGCCTTGCAATGTGAAATATTCCATGGCCTTGCGATGTGAAATATTCCATGGCCTTGCGATGTGAAATATTCCATGGCCTTGCGATGTACAAGTGTATGCATAGCAGTCATAGATGAAGGGTTAAAAAGTCAAATTTTCCAGTCGTTTCGCACACACACAAGTCAGTGTGTCAAACTTGACTTTGGACACTGTCATTATAGCACGTATCACTCAGTGAGAAAGGACTCTTCAGAGTAACTTTTTGTGGAGAATGACTTAATCTTAAACTTTGGCCAAAACAACAGTTTCAAAAAGGTTACATATGCCGCAAAATGAAGAACGGTTAAGGAAATCAATAGTCTGTTTTTCAAACCATCACAAGTCAATTCATCCAGAATTAAGCCAACTCAAAAGCTATTTAACCAAACAGGGACAAAAGCATTCCTTTGTCATAGTTTACCCTGTCACTCATGACTGGTCTGGCGTCCTGTGAAGGAACTTATGATGGAATCGAACACAAGACTTTTGGGTGCCTGTGCTTTACTTGAAATGCACAACACTTGCCAACTGTGGCAATGCACCTGCACGGCTCACCTTGAGTTTTCTCTCCTTCTCCAACACCACCTCCTTGGTGATGGTGATAGCTGTGATGACGAAGCTGATCAGAATCAGGAAGGGCAGCTGTATCTGGATCACCAAGATGAAGTCATCGTCAAAGTAGGGCGGGTAGGGGTAGCGACGCATCTCCACTGAGAAATTGTCTGTGCTGATATTCTGGAACTGGAGGAAGGCGCGGTCGATGGCATGCTGGAGTGGGAGAAAGCCTTCCCTCATATAACCTGCCCAAAAATGAGAGAGAGACAATAGTTGAGCTGTTCTACCAAGCCTTAATCCCTAACCTTGTAAATCCTCCATCGTGCAGAAAAAATGAATGATCCTGACATTTCAAGATGAACACAGTGACGTTGCACTGGACATTCTCCATGGCTTCCCTTAAAATGGCAGAAAAAATGTGCTGGATTCTAAAAGGAGTGACTGTTGCAGAATGTACAACAGCTACATACAATAGTTATAATTATCATAGTGCTTTCCAACAGTGGTGCTGGTCACTGCAAATGACCAGTGATGACAGGTGTTCACCAGATTTGTCAATATTCACAGGGACAGTCAACAGGTTAAACCACCAAGGGCGCCTTGAGTCACCTCTGGTGGCCGTGTATGCATATTAATCCCTCCCATTTGTTTTGTGCTCACAAAGTCTGAAGAGTCTGTGAATGTAGGCCTTGTGTTGAATTTACACACTGTAGGCAGTTTACTGTTGTACGGTCAATTGATAAATTAAGGACTTCTGTGACCAAACGATTTCTGTTCGAATGTGGTGTTTGCACATGTACCACACCCAGGTTTAAATCTTCCCTACTAACCCATTTTTTTAAACTAAAGATGGGCTACTTGTACTCACAATGAAATCAAGGGAAACAAGTTAAAAAACATACCTGGTTTGCCTCCCCAAGTATGCTCTTTCTGTCTCGGCCCTGGAGTGCTGATCAGTTCAAACAGCTCGTCCGTGTGCCACCGGGAAGTGGCTCCTGTGTACTGCTTGGTCGTGATGCCGGGGAAGTTGCGCTGACTGGCCTTGAGCCGGATGCTGTAGGTGATATTGGTTGGCAGTTGGTCGGCCGAGGGGAAGGGGTTGTGGAAAGTCACGCCCCCCAGGAACTCAGAGTGGTATGTAGAGTTGTCGCTTGCTGTGAGGAAGTCCAGCATGTCGGCTTCGGTAGCAAAGCCAAGGCCTGCACATATAAAGTAAAACAAAAAAAAAATTTGAGTCGGCTGGTATGAGACAGCTAGGTATCTATCTCTAAAATTTCTAAATAGACTGTATTCAAGTCACCAAATTTTGTCATGTTGGTAGTGGAAAACCAGGCAAGGAAATATTTTGACCAACACGATGGCACTACTATAATGCACAATATTATTGTTACCCCTGCTTAACCACTTCGCGCCAGGCCCATAAATCCATGTCGATTCTGATGGGCCAGGTGACTGTTTATTTTTTTCGGTTTTCATAAAATTCTTTAAAATGTCATAACTTCATTTACTGGACGTTTACACCCACACCAATTACTCTCTGGTGGCTACTCTAATCTGAAAGACAACATTTATTGATGCCCCAGTATTTCAGCCAGGCCTGCCGCCTTGTAAAAAGAGCCAAGATTGTGAGGTGTTATGTAAGTTTCTTTTGTTCCAGAAACCGGCACAGTGCACTGCTGGCATCTTTTCAATAGGGACCAGATTAGCGTGCAGCGGTATTGTATTGCTCTCGCTGAAAGCAACAAACAGTGGTATAATCTTTCAAAACAATGACGGATTTCCTCCGCTATTGACAACTGACAAAATGCTGGTAATTCCTAGGAACTCCGTCTTTTTTTCTAAATACAGTCTTTTGTTACAAGGCAAAGCTCTTTTGTCCTGCTTCAGGCTCCCCGGCTTTGTGTATAAAGACTATGTCCCCAAAACTGGGTACCCCGGCACAAACTGGTTAATGTGCTCATTACACCATTATAGGATCATCATCTCTCAACCCATATGGAGATTCAAATTTGGCATGAAAAAGGTGAAGAAATGTCAACCAAATTTCACATCGGAGTCAAACATTAAAAGATTTCAATTATCAGTGGTCATTATCCTGCCTTAGTTGTTTAGTGGCAAGTAGTGAGTGGAACATCTGAACCACATATTCATCTTTAATTGAGTCCTACTTCTCACTAAAATGAAACATATTTTGGCATTTCATGTCTTTTTAAAATCTTTTTTTTGTACACGACTTTTTCATATCCAGTGGCAGATACATGTGCATTGTTGCTGTCAGCTTTACGAAGTTGGGGACCAGCGCCAATTTACAGATTCAGTAGCCTCTGCCTAAAAAAGAAATCGCACCAGTGTCCAACTTCACCAGATGTTCTTTCAAGCTCTGTGTCACCAACTCCATCACACGATTCTCGGCACTCCCGTTGGGTGCGTGCGCCATCCGCCACGTGCAGGGCACTGGGAAGGGCAATCGCATCTTCTCTCGGGTCAGATTCTGTGGGAGCTTGTCGATGGGGTAGGCGCCGTAGATGGCCGGCTCCTTGTAGTCCATATAGCTGACTTTGGTCCGCAGCCAGATCAGGAGCAGTGAGACAAAGATGGGCAGGCCGATCTCAAAGAGGGTGCGGACCCAATGGCGCTTCTGCAGGACGTAGTTCTTCCACGTCAGCAGGAGTAGTTGGCTCAGCTTCCGCTGCATGATGCTCTCTGTTTCGTTTCTCTCTTTATGTAAGTCTCAACTACCTCTCCAAATAATGGCTGATGGTGAAACAAGTCTCTCCAACAGGACAACTAGGTACGATGAAGATTGGTATTTTACTCAATGAAAGAGCACATCACTGCTATATCACACTCTGAATGGTTTTCTTCCTTCAGGCATGAGACATCTGTCACTAGAACAAAGAAATTTTTTTCCAATTGAAGATTAATAGATTCAGAATTAGCAACATGAAACATCTTGTCAGTGATCTTCTGGAATCATGTTAAAATTTCCCACACCAACAGTGAGGAATTAATGGCCATGAACGCCTAAAAACACAAAGCATATGACTGTATGATGCTGGTCTGAAAAAGTTTGACTCTCAAAACTTAGCAGTGAGAGTAAATTAAGATTTAGTTTTTCAGTAGTTATTGTTAGAGCTGAACAAATAAGAAATGTAAATGTACAGATGTATGTTATATTATGCAATCACTTCAAGATGTTTGAGCAATGACAAAGTACTGTTGGTTCAAAGTTACTTGGCCTACCATTAGTTACCATAGGAGGGGGCCTACATCATTTCAAGACCAAAAAACATAGTTCAAAACTGACACCTGGCTGTGCAAAAGAAAGCCTAACGTTAGAACTCAAATACAAGACTCAAGATCATTTATTGTCATGTACGATCAATGCAAGAAACATGAAAAGAAGCACATTCTGGAAAGAGCAGACCTTTTGTGATTAACGACACATGATGATACCATCCTTTCATGTTTTATTCCTGAATGATGTAAATTAAGTTAGCATGCATGATCCTGTCATGCCTGTTGATTGTTGGGGGATGCAATGTGCCTCGTTCCCAAGGCCTTCTTCTTCCAAGAGATGCGCCAACTTCATATAATCAGATATTTGAAGACTCAGACACATTGAAATGAGAAGCAGTTACAGTTTTAGAGGTAGGAGAAAAACTCCAGACGATATTTTGGGTAAAACCCACGGAATCAAGTAGGGACAGTCGACATGACATGCATGTGGACGTACCGAGCCGGGACTCGGAATCAAACCCGCGGACCACAGAGGTACAGGTGGAAAGCGACAGAGGAAGGAACCACTACGCCAACCCAATTCCCTTGGCAGTGTGTTCCAGTTGAAACAATCAGTGGTCTTTCCACAATTCCACTCACATTTCCTTTGATTATAAGACCAATCCTACCTCCTATTTGACAGTGTTTTGTTGCTCTTTTGGTGTAAACATCATTGATTGCTCTCTGCGGTGCCGGTACGATCATGCATGCGTCGCATGCATCACATGCAAGTCAGCTGATGTGGAGCTAGACTCGAATTCAAGTCGCTTAATTTTGCAAGTCTTATCTGCAGATCTTTTGCCTATCATGTCCGAATTGCTTGGCTACGACTTGAAATAGAACACGTCTATGGCATTGGCTCGTGCTACTGCCTATACCATCGTGTGTTACTTTTAAGCCACAGCCAAGACCAAGTTGCACTTATCCTCCAAAACGGATTAAGTTAAATTGTAAACCCGTGCATGCACTGCTTTTGGTGTAGGGGGGGGGGGATTCAAAAGCGAATGCGCTTCGGGCTCATAGTAAAAGTCTCACTTACAATCCCGAAATTCTAGTTCTTATTTTGTGGTATTGTTGGTTTTGGTGCTAGAAAGATAAAGATTTAATAAATATTATACTTTGACAAGTGTACTTCAGTTGTCCAAGTTTGCCTTCGAGTCGGTGGGAATGTGATATGCCGATTGCTGTGCGTTGGTTTCGATTGGCCATTAAATAATACTTGACTTTGGCTTAGCAACTAATCAAACAGGAAACAAATCCGCCATGGCCTCATCGACTCCGTTCGGCAGTTGCCTAGCATGCTACCTCTGCGCTCGTCCTACTTCCAAGGACAAATACCAATTATTACGTATAAATGTATATATGACCAGTTCTGCCGACTGGTTGTCAGGCTCCATGCGTCGCTAGGCTTTTGTCGGGGTGCCGGCGAGGGTGGATGGGTGAAAACTTTCATCTGAAGAAAACTGAAGTTAAGTGAGGGCAATTACTTTCCTCTTTTAATAAAGTTTCTGATGCATTTTCTTTCCTTTTCCTTTCCTGTCATTCTCTTTATCTTTTTTTGGGGGGGGGGGCAGTGCGCCCGCACTGGCGCATCCAGCTTTGGGGGGGGGGGATTTAAAGCGAATGAGGGTTGGGCTTATTCAACATGATGTTGAGAAAAAAAATCAAAAGCGGGTCCTGACATTCTTGCCTTTATTTGTTGGTGTTTTGTTAAGGTTTGGAGCTATTATTTGGAAATAAATATAATGCTTACTTTCTTCCCTACTCACATATGAAGTATTCTTTATTAAAAAAGATTCCGTCGGGGGAGGTGGGCAAGTTGTCCCCGTGACTCTTCTGGATACGCCACTGTGCGCCCGCTCCAGAAAGAACTTTTCCACCTCCCACCGCAACGTCCCTCTATGCCGTGCCCCGATCTTAATCATTTCTTTCCCGGTCGAACAACTTTCAAACCTCTAAGCCTTATACAGAGCCCAAGAATTGGCCCCTAAAATAACGGCATGCTTCTGGACACCTGAAAGAAAATGTGTTAAAGTTTCCAGAATCTTGCTACATGCCCAAGGAACACATTTTTCTTAGGGGGTGCCGAGACTGTAAAATCATCAATATCTAGGGTTTTTCGGTACATCTCTGACATTGCCGAGTTTTTGTTTGTGGCTTAACGTAGTCCAAGTTGGGGGTGCTTATTTTGTACACCATCACCCCGGTCCCAAAAGCTAGGGGTGCTTCGGCAGCTTCAGCACCTACAGCACCCCCCTCCCCGTTCCCGTAGGTTTGTCTTGCAATCATTTTTTATTCAGCTTTTTAATTTATAGAAACTTAAATACTGCCTGTAGATGTGTGAACAGAGTATTGCCGTCTTTTAAGTTTAAAAAGTGATACAATAAACCAAGGACAGATCCACACAAGCAGGGTTTTTTTGGGGGGGGCGGGGGGACGGCACAACCAGAATTTTTACACGTGTAACCTTCAACGGATGACGGATGAGGCTAACGGCTTTTTTTACACGCATCTGAAAGGAAAGGAAATGAAAAACGTTCTCCTTCGTCTCAAAGGCTGCTTCGCAGGCTGCTTCGAAGGCTACTTCGAGCAAAAGCGGAAGTGAAGCAATCTTGATGTCACCAGTTTGGATCATGTATAACGCAATCGGTGTGAGTTTTGTCTCCTACCTACGTCTCACCCAGTTTTTACTTCATCCCACTCCCAAAAAAACCTGAGAGCCACGACTGATGTAATTTTTCTTCCCAGTTGCCAATAATCCCTCTCCAATAAAAAAAAATTGGTGGAGCGCTTTCAAGTCCATTTAATCCCTGCTTCTATATTCTGAATTGCTTTCTTTTAACTTGCTGATTGAATTCAGAAATTATTTTTTTATCAAACAGAACTCAGTAAACAACATGTGACCTGTGCAGGTAGAATTTTACATGAGTTTAATTTGAAAAAAAAAAAGAAAAACAAGAAAAGTGACATAAAGATCTAACTAATTAACACAGACCAGAACTGATTAAAAGTGTGAGGTTCAAGTACAACAAAGATTAGAAAAATAGGTTTCAAATATATTTGTATCAAGAACAATCTGGCTATTTATACACCTAGTTTCTGCAAGGACAGGATGGATTATTTAAGTAACCTCTCCTATTTCATAAAAAAGAGAAATTATACAAATAAATTACTAGACATGAAAAGTAATGTGAATAAAAATGAAATTAAAACTGAAAATAAGCTAGACATACATCACAACATACTATTCACCGTACCCACAGACAAACACCATGAAAAATGAAAATTGAGTAGCCTGGGCAACCAGAATAATGTCTCTAAAGACAGCACATCCTCACGCTACAAGGTCCTCCGGCTAAGTTCCAAACTACATACTGAAAATGTGGTGCAGTAGGAATCGACCCTAACCAAGAATTCCCTACTGCACAAACTCACACTTCAGAGTAAACCAAAAAGAACCTGACTACAGCACTGGCATATTAACGTCTGAATGACACTCATTCTGGTAAAGTTGTAGCTGATCCTCCCATGGGTGTGCGGTGCATAAATTGGTCAGTACTGAATTACATACAAATAAAAATGAACGTGAAAGATCATACCACTATATGGGTGTTAACATATCAGCGAAATCCCATAGTTACGGTGGCTATGCATCTCTTATAAGTTACTGTCAAGGCATTCCATCACAATACCGTACATATGAACAATTCTCACATCTTTATCTGCGGTCTTTTCACTGCTGTTTGATAAAAACAAATGTCAAAGACAATGTTCAGACTCTACAAACTACATGTAAATACATGATTTTTTGCTAGCAGCGAAAATATTACTCTTTTTTGAAATACATGTACAACACTGTAATCACAGCTAAGAACTGTATCTATCCAAAGCTGTAATGACATCTATACTTATTTCCCATTATTTACATGTACTTCACCTGTTCCCACAAAATGATTTATTATTGCTATACAAGAACATGTCTATTAAGCTTTAATTTTTATCATAAATACGGATAAATTACATGCTACATCAAGAAGATAAAAACATAAAAACAATCACTGAAATAACACAACAAAGAAAGAAGTTCACTGGTGCCTGGAAAAAGCCTGTGAAGAACCTACAAGCATCCCCAAAATAACAAGCAAAATAAAACTATTTAGTGTTCTCATTAATGTGAAACGTTACACTGCGGCTGCTTGCATCTTCACAATAATAAAAATGTTACTGCAAACTGGGGTCCAGGCAGTCGAGTTCATCGTAAACCTTCAAAGTAAGTCCAAGATAGGGTCCAAGGAAATGGGACATCAGCAAGGCCACGGGATGAATTTTTTCCAAGTTTATTTCAATAGCTTGTGACTGATTAACTACAAACCATGCCTATAAAAACACACTGATGGGATGCACACATGCTGTCTTGTTAGGTCAACTTCAATAGAAATCTCTACAAATTGAATGGAATGATTAAATACTCTTAGAGCTTAATCTGTTTGGAGTACCTTGAGGCAGAAAATGATACCGATGATTTTTTTTTAATGAATACTGTTTGACTTTCAACAAGCGAAGACAGATAAGTATAAAGTAGCTTGCAGCTAAGATCAAAACCTCTCTGAAACAAAGTGAAGCCCAATTCAATAGAATTTTTTAAAACTTATTTCATAAAATATCTTGTAATTTCCCTGGTATCCATCACAATTCTGCACACAAGCACACCTTATTTATTCTGAAACAGAAAAGAACCAAGTCTCCATGTGTCCCTGCAAATTTCAAATAACGAGCCAGGTAAGAGCATGGAGTGACTTAACAAATATGGGGGCCCATTTCATAGCGCTGCTTAATTGCCAATTTCTGCATAACAGGGTTCATGTCTCTTTGATGTCTTTGATGCATCAGTGCATCCATACCATGGGATAAGAATCATGAAGCAACATGGTTTCCTGCTATTGTTCGGGAGTGTCTCAAAGGCTGTAATGCCAAAGAACGTTTTACTGGGGTTCATTACTTATTCCAGTTATTCCGCATGTGTGCACACTAACTTGAGAAAGGTGTGTTCCTGACAGTGAATTCCCATCAAGAGCATCTCCAGTGGGAACACCCACTCACGCACCGTAGTTGAGGGGACATTTAAAACTTAACATTTCACCTATTTTGTGGGGACCAAAAACATTGTGAGGATTCTGAAATGTCCCCACAACTCGGTTCAAATTTCCCTAACAAAAGAACTTGATCCCTAAATGCGGTAAATGCCTACCCAGGAATGCAACATTTCAATTTGTACAAAGTCCCTTTAGCACAACTTTTCTGCTAATTGCTAAGCAGTGCTATGAATTTGGGCCCAGGCTATTGAAAAAAATCAAAGCAAACCAATTTTGCTGAGTTGAGTAAATGTTGCAGCATTTATTGTGCGCCTGCCTTACTGGTCGATTCAGGGAAGATTACAGCGTGATTCCATTTTGACTTAGAAGCTCCAATACTTGTTTCTTGGTGTCAGGAGGATTCATGACTCGATGGCCAATGGTCCGAGGATCGCTGTAGATCTCGTGGTCATTGCCACCCTGAATAGAAAGAAAAAATACAAGACTACATTTACATGTTAAAAAAAAAGATGCTCTGACCCACGTGAATCGACATAAAGAAGTAAATAAAAGGCAAGTCACTGAAGCATTGATAAAATTGGCAAAAAGTATGAGACAAACAAGTAAGCATCCAGCGCTGGATTGGCAAACTGTATATGGCATAAGTAGTGACCATTATGTTATTTGATAGACAATCCACACTACCTTTTTTTACATGAAACAAGCCTCTCTATAAACAGCAAGCCTCAACCTTAAGCTTTTTTTAACAAGCCTTCTGGGCAACTTAACTTACTTTTTTTTTACTTGTCCACAGAAATTTTCACTAACCCACTGGACATTTTCAGCAAGACCTACTTGTTTCATCTTTATTATTTCAACTGTTGCTGTGGAGTCTTGCTGTCAACTTTCAAAACTTAACAGTGGAGGATTCAAAACCTAAAAGTTATAATAAACAACATGCATAATCAATTTTGCATTTGTTTTTTCATCTTTACAAATATGATAAATGACAAACAGGTTGGTATTTCTTTACTGGCCTGCAAGGCAACGAATGTGTTTTACTACAAAAAAGCAGCCAGCAATGGTTTTTACTAGAATCTGCACGTCCGTCTCATGCTAACGTTGAGGCCTGATTTATAGATTCTATTGTATGGCACATGGTTGCTAACAACCAAATGTTAGTCAACTACAATGGTGATCAATCTTGGGGAACAACATCGGTAAGTTTAGCATCATATAACCCTGAAGCAGTTCTAACCAAGCAATGCCACTTCATGTGATTGAGGATATTATCATCGTGCAGTAAAAGGGCATGACACAACAGACATAAAAAAACAGAGGCATGTAATGAAAACATTTTACCTTGCTACTTGTAAATTAAATCTAATGTGATGTGTAAAACACGGCAAATACTTCAGACTTTCGCGTATGATTGGTTTGAAGGTCTTCATTAAAAGGAGCCACTTAAAATTTGGAACACGATTAGAACATCTGAATGAGAACATTGTTTGTTCCATTTTGTAACAGTTCGGAAACAACATTGAGCATTCCCAAATTGGGAACAGTGATCTTGGCTTTCTCATGCTTTCCTAAGGAACAGCCCATCCCCAATAGGAACAAGATGGAATTACTGGGAGTTACCCATGAGCACTCATGGTGCACCTCATAGTGAAGCACAGGTACGAAGTGAATAGCAGAAGAGAATGAAACTGTGTGCCCTATCCACCTCCAGTAGAAGCGCCCTCTCATCGGTTTAAAAGAGCCGTGTTGGTCGTGAGAGTTCATGTTGTTGGCAGTGATCCAACCCTAAGGCATGCATTTCATATTCATTCAGGAACTGGTAATGTTCAGTTCCAACCAAAGGAGCATCCATTGTTAAGAAAACTACGCCCTCGCTTGGTCCAGCTTGAGGCTTATTGTGAACTCAACCCCAAAAGAGGTTGAAATAATGAAATTATTCAAAATCTATGAACAAACTATAGTGAGTTAAAACAAGGATTTTAAAGGGATAAAGACTTATGGATCAAAGTATGTTCATCTACATTTCTCTCTATACCAACCCCCCCCCTTTGTAAAAAAAAAAAAAAGAGTCTTATAAGATTTTACCTTTTCAACTTTATCACCAAAGAAATGAATTGTATCAAAGTCTTTCTCCAGGTACTGTAGACAATACCTCTTGTCCCAGCCAATAGGAAATGCATCGATACTAATCTGGCCACCTGCAACAACAGTCACAAAAATTAAACAATATTAAAAACAGACGGTAATAATTTTAAGGGAATAAATATGTCTTTGGCTGGTCTTAAACGTGTGTTTAAGACTGGCTCAGGAGAATCAGTGTTCGTTCTCCTGAGGAAGGTCTTAAACGTTAGTTTGAGACCAGACAAGCTCATACTTACTCAGGGAGTCAAAAGAAGTCAACATATAATGGATTTCCAAAAATTTTATTCTCAAATTTTACTCTTATTGTCCCAAACACCCCTGTCCATTTTATGGTATATTCCTTTTGAAAGTTGTCCAATAGAATCTCCTTCAATGAACTTAGTGCACGCGTGGCGCATCACGAGCACACAGACTCCTGACCAGTCTGACCCGATTAAACTGTCTCGTATCCATGTGCCAGAACATGATTTACGAAACATTATCACTTCTCAATGGGCATTATCAAATGTTAATACATGGTCAAATGACACGTTTCGACCAGAAAAACTGTCACATGTATTTATGAATAATGGTTAAATAGAACTTGCATGTTTAATATATAAATCCTATTTTACGAGTAAAAAAGTCCCCAGAATGTCCTTCAGCAAGGGGAGGTAACACAGTAATAAACCACAGAATGCAATGATTAACGAAACCACTCCAACCAACAAAGATAAACATGAGAGTGCTGATAAGAAAATTTGAGTTTTATGTTTGACTTCCTGGGAACAAGGGTCAGGTATAGAAAGGAGTGGGTATGCCATACACGTGTACATATATACATCAGTAAGTGCAACGTCATTCCGGGCAAATTTTTTATATCCAAACACAATAAGTGCAATTCACAATACTGTTCGACCGTCATTTGAGAGTGTAAACCAATAGCAATGTGCAGTGCACAGAGTGAAAAGGTCAACGTCCTGCGACTCTGTTATGCAGGCATCAGGCAGCACTTCTTCAATCCTTCTTCACGCTTTCACATCCAAATGTTGCACTTCCCCCCCTTCTTGTCATTCTGCGAGATGCCACCATCAGTGAAACATTTATTCCAGTCCGCAGCTCACATTGATTTCTTCTGCAAGGTATTTTTTTTAGCTGTCAAAGCAATCTTGGTGTAAATCATTGTGTCACTCATCAAACCCTGAGCCAGAAATATACCTTCCTGGGATAAACGCTTCAAGCATACTATACTGTACATCACACTTATTACTAGGGTAGAAAGAACAAAGAACAATTAATGCTGCAAATGTACTACAGCACTGTCAAATGATTCACTGCACATTTGAACCTAATCTTTCACTTCCATATACGTACCAATTGAAAATTCCCATCCATCGGCAGTGAACTTTTCTCTAAGGTGTTTTACCATCTCCTCTCGTATATGCTCTTTCTGTAATGAGAAAAATATGTAAAAATGATCAGAATTGTGTAGGCTTTAAGCTAATAATGTGTTCTTCATCACAAACTACTATCCCAAGCTTCAGTTCCATGTATGTGTGCACTAGCGTTTTAGCTAGCGAGTCGTGCAGCCATGTTTTGCACAGTCAGTTTCATGAAATCACGGCCCATTTTTTCAAGCACGGCCTGGCGGTGCAAATCAAGCTGTGCACTACTTAATTCGAGTCTTGCGTAATCTGGATCCCAAAAAAAGGGGAAAATAAAATCTGAGCTAAAATTCAGTCTTTTCCCATGCATTTTCCCTCATCAACCAAGTCCAACATAGAAAATATGCTCCAGTAAAGCATATGTACACGTACACTGGGACTATGGTTCAGATGTTTGGTTCAAACGTATTAACACCAGTAGGCGGGTTCCCTTACTTACAAATAATGAACTACAGCACCATATCTATAAACTTGTGACAAAATAAAAAGAGGGAGCCATACTTGTTCACCAGAAATCAATCGTACATGTAATCAACCTCATTTCCATGGCAATCGTTAGCCGCCATATTGCACCCACTCTCGCAGGAGGTCGTCCATGGGGACGAGGTTGACATATAATCATTGAGGGCTTGTCCTGCATGCTCACTATAAGATCATCCAGAACGAAATGAAAACTTATAGAATTTCTTCTCGAAAGCAAGGGCTGGCCTACACGTAATCTTTGTTGTTGTCAATAATCAGCATAAAGCTTGTTTAGGTTCTTCTACTTTAATGGAAAAAATTGTCAAACTCTTCCGATACCATGTTCAGACTCGTGCATAAGCATGAGCACATGGCCTGCCTGTGGTGTACGTGTGTGCGTGTAAAGTGTGCATATGTACACGTACTACGCGTGTATGACATATTTTTTTCATCCACATTGAAGTCTTGTACTCAATTTGCTCATTCTTAGCCAAATTGCCAAAGGAGACATGCATGTAGGAATACTGGGATTCATTTTATATCAGTATTTATTTTTGTTGCTTATCACATAATAATCTGAATGTACCGTATTGCAAAAAGAAAGGCGGAAAAACGCTTGTCAGGTACTGACCTGCATTATTACCTGCATACCATTTTTTTTTAACATAACATTTTAAAATAAAGTGGTGATGAGAAATCTGTTCAAAGGTGTTTGTCATTATTCGCTTCTTTGTAGCAGGGCTGATTAATCACACTATATAAAACAACAACCGCACACAGGTTTACAATTAATTTTTTTTTTCTAAAAGCTGTTATTCTTGGTCAGAGCTGAGTAAGTGGCTGGGTGCAATGAGAAATTGCCAAACACAATTGGACTAAAAACAGCAACAGACTGCAATGTTGCATTTTGTTGCATGCATCGGGTTTCTATTTTCAGCTTTTCTGTTGCATTTGAAATGGTACAAATCCTGATACAGCCATAAAGCTGTAAGTGAAACATTTTGTGTGGTGCTTTTAGTCAACCTGCAAAAGTGATAGACTGCTCTGTGCTATAGTCCTACAACATAATGACGTAATGCAGTGCTTACCGCGGTGCATTGTTGGCGAAAGGTGGGGTTGTTGCAGGAACGCGTCAACGTGACACACTGCATTACGTCATTATGTTGTAGGTCTATTGGACTGTATGAAATCTCTGACTACACTTCCACTGTTCAGAGCAATGTTCCGAGGTATTTAATTAGACAGAAAAGGTGATGACAGAAGGGTTGAAAGCTCATGTTGATTGATGACATTCAACAGTCGACCATCTTGCAGACTGACTGATCACTACACCGACCATTTACGCAAAGCAAGAAGCTTCAAGTCTGCAGGGAATGTTGAAATGAAATGGCAGCTCACCTGATCGAGGTCTGAGAATTGCTGGCGTTCTGCTTGAGAGCAACTCCGGCCCACTGGACAAAAATTGATCATGCCATTGCGGAACTCAACAAATGTCCCCCTGGATGGAGAGAAATACGGTTGAAAATCAAAGGTTCTAATGCAGGGCAACAAATACACATAACATGCTGAAAGCCTTGCCCCTCCTTGAAATCGGGGGGGGGGGATTTTCAGGATTCAGGAGAAAAAATGGCCTCCTTAACAGTCAGCTCCACTGCTCTCGTCCTTTCAGATACTCCAAGGCAACAGAATATTTGAAGAAAATAAGTTTAATGCACGAACCTCGTAAATCTAACCAACTGAAACACGGGAGTTGTCATGTACAGGCGCATCAAGGCATTCTGAGATTACAATATTAACACAAGTGCATAAAATGACTATAACCTGATAGAATCTATTAAAGCATCCCATTCTGGGCCGGTGTGCTAGTCAACTTTTGCAGTTTCCAATGCACTCCATGTAGAGGTAAATGTATGTGGGTAATTCCAGAAATAAGGGGTAAAAAATGTGACATCTTTGTGTCTCTGTCACATCTGTCCTTTGTTATTTGACATGGAAATATCACCGGAATTGATTTCAAACTATTACTATTTGTTTGGCAGGTAATCTGCATAAATTCATCACTCTTGGAAAAGAGAAAATGTGTTCCGCACTTACAAAATCGTACGTCAGATGTGACAGGGACACACAAAAAAATGGACCCCAAATTTCTGGAATTACCCATGTGTAAATGCATTTATAGGCCAAGCTGACATAAATTGTGTTCCACTGGGGAAGCTAGAAATTGCCTGTGGAGCGTACAGGTTATTCTAAAATAAGATAAAATACTTTGATGATACACATTTTCTAATTACGAATATCAGAGTTTGTCTGATATTTTGTCTTTTGAGACAGCAGAAGTATTCTACAGTCTATGCAGCTAAAACTGACCTTTTGCACGGCAACGTTAAGTTAGAGAGATAGCCCAGTGCAAAGTTGATCAATGATTGAAGTTTCTCATCACCCATGAAAGCTACCAGATTCTGACACGGCAAAAAATGCAACAGAAACAGGTTATGAAGTAATTACAAGAACACATAAACGTACATGTAAGTAAGGTGCTTCAGTTCATGCACAGATCTCTGTGAATTGGGACAATCAGCAAGAAAACCATGACTGGAAGTTCTCGAAGTGCAACTTCCCAGAGGGAGCTCCATCAACAAAACAGGGATGCTCTTTATTAAAGAGTGAAGACACTGTTTTTCTAGGCTCTTATGTACTGCTGTGTCTATAGTGCGCCCTCAATGTACCGCATGGGACAGGGTCCGCCATATTGCATTAAACATGTGTTACAGTTCATGCCGAGTCACATTCCTTGCTCATTAGTTACGAGATATAACATGTACATGTGCTTAACATTATACTGTAGTGCCTAAATGTTGGCATTTTGAAGAAATCTCTACATTTATTGGTCCTGTTGCTACAATGTAGTTTAAAAAGTGCTACGGCATGAAAGAAAAGGACAACGAACATTTATGCACAAGACAGAAACTTTAGTTGATGGGGCTGAATCAGTTTATATTTCATCTTTCATTGGATAAAAATTTTAAATGTTCAGTGGTACCAGATTCCCAAATCAGTAGAAATTGGAAGGGAGCTTATTGAACATGTTAGAGAATGTGGTAAAATAGATTCCAAAAACAAGCAAGTGGGAGGTGGGAAACAAATACGAACAGCATGTTACAAGCATTTTAGACATGAAATGAGCAAGTAGTATTTTGTGCATACGAAAGTCAACATCTCGGTTTGCGAATTTAAACGTTGGAGTGGATGGCCATAAATTTGTAGTCAAATGACAAACAGGAGCAGTAAGTCAGTTGGCCTTTACTGCTGAGCATTTCCATCAGCTGCATTCAGTATCTTGTAAAACACTGAAGGAAAGTTTTGGAATGCAGTTTTGTTCCCTCCAAAAAAAATGAAAATTTCCATTTTTATGTTTTAGTGCATTTTTCCTCCAAATATTTGATTCCCCCAAAAATATTCCAACACATGTATTTAGTGTCAGAACAAATGTTCAAATATTTGAATATTCACGATAACCATACTAGTTAAGCAGACAATTATTTCAGGAGGGTAGGTCAATCTTATAAATTCCCTTTTGGTAATACATTGGCTTCCACAGACAGCTTACCATGATAGCTATAGGCTTCCCTTGCTTACAGGCCACCAGTCCGTTTTCAGCAAACACGTACTGAAAGCCCATTTTGTTCAAGGCCTCTTCACCGCCCATCTGCTCAGTGATTTTGCCCAAGTCCGAACCCCCTACCAAGCCACAGCTGAATTTTTCACAAACACCGCTGATGAAAGCTTTCATGTCTGGTAAGATGATCTACAAAGAGTAAATAAAATTGACTCAGTGTGTCAGAAGACAGTGTCCTTGCCTACAAGATAATTTTCATGACTCTATGCCAAGTTTCAGGCTCTTACAGTAATTGCTTTTTTTTACAGGTCTAGTATTCGGTTTAAGTCAGTTTGCCTTAATAATGAGTTTTAAATTTAACTCTACACATTACATAAATCATCCGTAGTCTACAATTAAAGGGCAACATTACTTTTTGTTTTTAAACAAATCCTAAATTGCATGATATTTTAATTTTTTGGTGAAGAGTGGAGGCCACCATCTATCTTTTCTCGATCGGCCGCGCCTAAACATGATGGAGGCAAGTTGGGCTGCACAAGTGGCAACCATCTTTTTCATGTGTACACATGTATCTTGCCACTCACAATTCCACACTCAAATATAATCTTGAACAAATATGGGGCATGTGGCCTACTGGCCTAGTGGTTAGGGTTTGTAGCTTCTGATCATAGGGTCAGGAGTTCGAGTCCAGCTGGTGGCAGCATGTTGCGATCTAGGGCAAGTCACTTTACCCCTATGTGACTCTTTCCACCCAGAAGTAAATGGGTACCTGTGAGGGTTGACAAGGTTATGTCGAGCCATTTGCGCTAAAAATGGCAGCATCAGGCTAGTATACTCCCCAGGGAGCTGAGCTGGTTTCAGGAATGTTCAGATGATGTGAGCCCAATGTGCAGGGATGAGAATCTGGGCCTTTGAATGGCACTTTCCAGATACTGTGCCCATTATAAATGCTCTGATTAATATTTTTATTAAATATGATGTACTGATTGGTACAATGTATTTAGAAGTCCAATCAATTAATACTGGAAACACATTATTTACATGTACATGTTAAAACGCTTGTAAGGTACCAGTAAATAATCTTTGTTGATGCTTGTTGACTCTAAACACAACAGCATGACCCCTTTATAGGCAAAAACTGTGTCAACAGCACAACACAAGAAGCAATTTATGAGAAAATAGGCATGGACTTGCAATACATTTGAAAGTATTCTGAAATTTTGTTGAAGTTAAAATAAAACAAAGATGACAAAGAAAACACAGTAAGCAAAAAAATGGCAAGAGTTCTATTATACGGACATAACTTATTTTCCCTTACGGTGGTTTGTAGAAAGTGATCACATGTCCTAAAAGTCAAATTTCGCAGTAAAAATATTGAGGTATCTACACCTACTTAGAAAACACTTTGAAATTCTTCAGATTAGTCCCATTGGGTTTGTGCACAGGGTGTCAAGTGACATCTGTGTGTGGAACTCTTTCCAAAAGAATGACTGATTCGAGGAAGAAATGAGCAGAGGAGAGTTGAAGGCAGTGATGGCAGTCATACACAAAACATCAATTTACATGTAGTCCCCCCCGACCATGACAGACAAACTCTCCCAATTTTATTCAATCAGGTCAGCTGCACTCTTTTCTATGTTGAATCCTGCTGGATAACCAAATTTATTTTGGGAAAACCATTGGCATTGCTAGTTCAAATGTGTACACAAAGTTGGGTATGCCTGAAACTGTGTCAAGGGCACAGGTGGAACAGTAAACATGGTTGGGGCGTAGGCCTAAAATAACAATCCCAAACACAGAATACAGTACACGCAGTCATGGTCACTGCACAATCAACGCTCCACACCAAAGAATTAGAAAACACAGGCCTATAGGGCCTGCTCTTTTGAAATCCAAGTCGTGTTTTCCTACAAGTGGATGCTAAAACTATAGCTGGCCATCAGTACGAGCATAAAAGAATAACTCACAAAATGTTTAAAATCCCTCAACAACTACCATGTATACTAAATCTATCCATACTAGGCCTTGAAGTACTAGGCCTATACATATATGTACTACTAAATACTAGATGAAAAATTCAACCTTAGGGCCTATTTAAAATTAATGGGACAGATGCCCATTTTAATGAATTTGAGGTAAAATAAAAAAAACAGCCAAAAGGTGATATTCCTGCCAACTTGGACCGCCCATCATGTCCATTCAAATTGTACCCAAATTACAGTAGTTTACTGACAATGTTGTAAAAACGGTCATTACACATACATGTGCATGTACATGATGTAACCATCCGTGAATGTATACTCAGCAGGTCCTAATTTTACCTCATACAGTCAAGTCTGATTGGTTTTCACAGTAAGTGGTGAAATAAGGGGCCTGGTGACTACACAGTCATAGGCATTAGGCCTGGCGTTAAAGGGTACCAGAAATTGAAATCACATAGTTCACATAAAGTGTTTCAAAATAACAATAAATATGAAACCATTTCAAAAGCATCACAAATTTGATGTTTTCCTCATTAACTGTGACCCCAAAATGAATGAAAACATCCTGCATTTCCCCGCCCACAAAAAATCCCCTTTTGGTTATTCGCACCGCACGCTTGCAATAGAGCACGTTGTGTTGATGTAACTTGGCCTGCTGGCAAACACTGTCTCAGGTCAAGAAACACACAGTAGGACTGTCTTTAAATTTCAACCATGAACGGAGGCAGTGTTTGCCTGTAGGCAAGCTACACCAAACACAAACGTGGCCTATTGCAAAGCACGCAATACTGCATATACTGAGCACTTTGTAGATTGTACACTGGACATGTATATGTACATCATGTAAGCATTCTGGCGATGACGTCATCCACTCAGCCTGGGAGTGCAAATGGCCGAAAGGGGATTTGTTTGTGGGTGGGGAAACGCAGGATCTTTTTATTAATTTATGCATGTTTGGGGTCACAATTAACAAGAAGTCATGATTGATGGAGAAAACATTAAATTTATGATGTTTTTAAAATGGTTAAATAAATAAAAAAATAAAATTTACTGTTTTTAAAATACTTCACGTGAACTAAATGCTTTCAATTTCTGGTAGCCTGCCCTTTAATATTGTCGTTCATTCTCAAGAGTACCCTGTTCCTATAATAAGGAAACTAAGTCTACATTTTCGAAATAACTTAAATTACCTACATGTAAGTAAGTTAGCGGTGGTGTCCTCTTTCATATCACAAAGAAAAGAGGGAAGGGCTTTGGTTTTTGAGGGAAATTATTGGGTAAAACAGCAGCGTAAAATGATGCAACGAAGAGCTGTGAACGAAGACAAATCAGCACATGCTTGACCTGGAACCATAAAAGTTTCTTTTATGAAATTCAGTATATCCACAATGGCTGGGTTGGGTAACCTGATGTGAAACAAAATGGCATGATGCAGTCACCTTTCACCAAACTCGGGTAGGGTTTTCTTGCTTAAATATTGTCAAAATTTACCCATATTGGAGCTACTACTACTAGCAGACTGGACTGGGATTAAGGAATGGATCCGCAAGGTCTGAATGTCAGTTAGTTTGAACATGGAGGTAGAATCTACCTCCATGGTTTGAACAAGTGGACTTCGTTTTCCTTATTATAGGAACAGGGTCCTTATGGTAATGAACGCCTCAATATACATGTACCATGCATGTAAATACGTGTGTAGCCTATCGTTAGCCTACATCATGATGACTTGCAAGTTGCAGTTGCGTACGGATGCTGCAATGCCCCCGCGCTATGTATCGATACACAGTGTCGATGTCGTACATTTAACATGTTTAATTTTCATAAATGTAAGCAGACTTGTACTTGCTCAAGAATCCGGTAAAGAACAGTGCTGTACCTGTCTTGATGCAGTGAGCGTGCCATCCACGTCGAAGAGCAGCAATGTCCTTTTGTGGTTCTCCATCTTCACTTCGACCAATTTCTTTCTCGATCACGCGCGAAGACCCAGGAGGTCTGCCAGCTGATGTATCCGTTACGCAAGTGTGTACGTGTCATGTAGGCAGTCTGGTCTCCAGACAATCCCACTGAAAACAAGCCCATGAAGTTTTGGTCAGGCTCCAGTGTCCAACTTCCGGAAGCAAGATTTTTTATTACACTGTAGTCTAGGAATAGGGCATGTTCTTTCCTATGGTTTTATCGCCATATTGCTGGTCTTAAAGAAGAGATTAGTCTTCAGTCTTCGTGATGATAAATTCCGTGTCGAGTGAAACGCCAGACTTCTACTTCCGGGGAATCCATCATGCACTGTAATGATTACAGCTCCGGCTTCTGAGTCTTCTGTCTGCACTAACGTGCTGTGTAAAAAAAAACGGCTATCTACCATAACCTCAGTCAAAGGGGCGATAGTGATGTGATGCTAATCAATAAAGGTTATAAATAAGCGAATAATTATTGGCACAAATAGCCTGAGTAGCTGAAAGTGCCATTAAAACAAATCAGCAACAACAACTGTAGCCCTCAAACAATTGGTTAGCGTGAAACTTACTCCAAACTGATTGCATCATTTTCAGCATCGATTGCATCAGAATTATTTACTATTTTGCACTTTAGCACTGTCGAATACTTTCTTTCTGTCCTCAACCAAACATTCGGGTGTGTGCTTTTAACTACTTCAAACAAGGAATAACCCGGGAACAGAATATCAGAGGACACTGAAACCATAGTTCCTTGCTCTATGCTGAAATAGGGGACTAGAATATCCTAGAGGGGATAATAATTTCCTCAGATAAACTATCTGTCTGGGACAGAACCCCCCCCCTTTAGGCCTATACCGGCGCTTCGGAATTTCAGTTTTACCACTTAAACCAGCCGGCGTCACCAGAACCGTGGGTTTCGTCGTCGCGCTTCCACGTTGGAGCGCGGCGGACGACGAACCCACAGTTTCTGGAGTACGCTCAGGACCACCACGTACCTCGATTTCCGCTGGGGGTTTCGTGACCCCTTGTCGGGAGCCAAGAGACGGTCGAAACACAAGCAGGGATGGGAGGCGTGGTAGGCCACAAAGCCGTCTCAAGGGGCTTTTCTCAGTCCGCTGGCTTTCTTCCTAAATCAACTTCCTCGGAACACCGTTCTCTGGCCGGTTGAAGTTCGGTAGTTAGGAAGGGGTCGACTGGGGGTCAGAGGGAACAGAGAAAGGAGAAAATGTAACTACATAGGCAAAAGAGAGTGGGGATGGACTACTGAATCACCCCAACCAACCACCAACTATTGGTGTTAGTGGTGACCAGAGTGTTAGTGGTGAGATAAAAAAAATAGGCCTATAAGGCGGATTGCAAAGATTTTTTCGAACTTTCCAACAACCAAAAAATATTCAATAGCACTAAAAAGAGGACAAAAACCTAAACCTGCCTTTCCGATGTTAGATTATGCAGGAATGTAAAGCATGTTATTCTATGTTATGATGAACATCACCTTCAAGTTACTTCCCTCCAACACACACACACCTTTTCAAATTTCTGCGACTTGCAAGTCATCCCCGCCCCCTCTATTTCCCACTCTCAGCTCATCGCCTCCGTTTCGGTACAAATTTACGCCGCAGGTGAAAAACTTCTAGCCATCATCAAAACAGTAACTCGATCCCCTCTCTTTGATGATGGGTCGCGTCATTTTGGCTGATATGTCCGACCAGGGCCTCCCAGCGAAAAAGGCTGCATGGTGCGGAAAACTTGTAGTCACAAAGAAACGCGGTGGTCTCGATTACACACACTGACGAGCGTTAATTACGGAAGCGTAGTTAGGACATGACCAAATAATAGTTTTGCTGTACTAATTCGCCCAGGCGGATTACTACTCCACCCAGGCAGATTAGTATTTCGCCTAGGTAGATCATACCGTATGTGTTTCACAATTTCTCCATTAATCCGCATGGGCGAAATACTAATCCGCCCAGGCGAAATAGTAATCCGCCTGGGCGGAATACTAATCCGCCCGTGCAGCCCGGTAATCCGCCCAGGCTAAACAGTAATCCGCCCTGGCAGAATAGTGGGTCAAACTTTTCTTGAGTTATGTCCTATACGCTTCGGTAATTTTGTGTACTGACGAACACATCTCCTTCTCGTTAATTTGAATAAAAAAAATGGATGAAAATCATGCAAAGCAACTGACACACTGCATTAAGAATTCACCTTTGGTTTCAATCTTGAATCCCTGTGAAGTGGGCTCCGATTTTGCAGCAAATATCCCATGGAAAGTGTACAGCGAAAGTCTTCCTAGTGAGTATAGGTAATGGAATTAAAGAATTGCGCGCAGTTCTTGGGTGCTTAAAGGACGGCGGACGAAACGAACGAAAGCGTAACAGTATAATTTTAAACGAGAAGAGATCCATTTTCCTGTCAATGTCACTTCCGAGGATAAAAAGGCGTCCATTACTAATATCGTCAGTCGCTTTCTCCATCAGCAACCATGCTGCTGGTAAACGATCAAATAACGTTCTTATCTTTTATCGCATCAGATCAGCGTCAGCAGCTAGGTTTAAGCTTAATCCACCAGAAGCTCGCTTAGATTTTAAAAGGACCCATTCACAGTAACATTTGGCAACAGCCTTGATCGTGTAATGTTGTACCATGGTTGTACCTATAGGCCTATACGCAGAATCCATCAATTAATCAAGCGATTGGGAATAAAGAAACGACCAAAATCTCACTTAAATCCATGAAATATGATAACAAACATAACAGTACATGGTGATACACAGTGTTCTACTGCCAGCGATGAACTGTGGTGAACCGTCTGTATAAGGCATCTGCCGCCGCGTTGTTTCTCAGTGCAAGTTCGTGGGTCTCGTCTCGCTCCCGTCTTGCGAGATGATTAATGTAGCGCTTGTTAGAAGTCTCAGTGAACTGAACAAGAAAAGTGACCTTCTTTGTCCAAACAGCATGGATACGTGCTGTGGGCATCAAAGACATGCAGAGGCTTCCTCGTCGATTATTAATGGCAAAGTTTGATAATGTTACAGTTTTTATAACACGGCAGACCCAGCGGTGTATCCAGCGTTTGGTGTGGGGGTACAGTGGCAATGCAAAAGCGAATGCGGCTTCCGGTTCATTCAACATGATATACCGAGTACTTTCCTTCCTAATCACCTGTGATGTATAACATGTAAAAAGAAAAAAAAATCCGTCGGGGGGGGGGTTGCCCTCCTCCCGCTGGATACGCCACTGTGTAGATCGCAATAAATATGGCAAAGATCGGAATTAAGATGTGGTGAAGGATTTCGACTATATGTGATGCTAAGTACGTAGCAGTGAGTTGGAGTCACTTTGGTCGGTACTAGCCACTGGACATTTCAAATAACTGGAACGAATCAAACTTGGAAATAGGGTTGCGTGAGTAGGTCACACTTAATCCACCCAAATCCTAGTGGAACGGCCCATTTCCCCAGTTAGTTCCAGTATATTTGTTATCACGGTGCACTCGCCAATGGAGCATCAAGGATCAGAAACGCCCTCACCGATCTGTGTATATTTACAGCTGGAGTCTCAAGTGGAGAGCAGAATTTGTGTACGGTGAACTTGTAGTCGAAATCTGTGAGTAACGCCCCATATAAAAAAAAAACATCAGAGTGTGTACCAGATTTGGACACACGAATCCGAAGATGTTTGGTTTGCTTAAGGCACCGCGCACGTTCTACCAAGCCGCGCTCCTGGTGTGCGTGTCAGCGGCATCGAACAGCGGGCGAAATGTCACCGACTCCGGCAGCACGAAAACCGTCATCTACATGGGCGGATTCTTCGCTTTTCCGGAGAATCCATTTTTAGCCACTCACCCTGGGATTGTGCAGACAGCCATTGACCACGTCAACAGCTTGGAGGGAATCCTTGACGACTATCACCTCAGAATGAAATGGAACTGGACAGGGGTGAGTTAAATAGGGTCTGCTATATAGTTCTACGTTTCCAGGCTATATTTTTGGCCTATATACCAGTTAGGTTGGCCGTTAGTACGAAAGAAAATAAACTTACTAAATGTGAAAAAAAATTGACAAAGCTGACTGAGTGGACTGGACTGAGTTTATCGGAATCCCCAAAGTATAGAATAAGGACATAGTTACTGTGGAACCCCCTAAACGCCACCCTTTGAAATGGCTTATATTGCAATGCATTCATACTGAGAGACATCTGCAAAAAAATGATTTCACTCGAAGTAAATTTTTCCAAAGGATAAAAAAACTGTATTGTCAGTACTTATTACACTGTAAAATATTTCTGTTAAATGTGTAGTATTGTACTGCATTTTACAAAAAAAATTTGTTACTGTAAACGGGTGTAAACGAAGTTTACAGTAAACTGACGTGTTAATTAGCTACTGTGCTTTTGTGCAATACAGTACAATGCGGTATATTTAATAGTAATGTTTTACAGTGTAAGTTTTGACCTCAATTTGCATGTTGACTCATTGCTACTTTCGCCACTAAGTTTGCAATTTTTCATTCTTTACGCAAGCATTTGACAAAATGTTAGTGCTTTTTGCATGTAGTTTTACACGCAAATGCCATCCATTGCCTAAAAAGATAAAATGTAAGTGAAAAATAAAAAATCTTACTTTTTCACGTGCCAACCAGGATTACATCAGAGGACCCAATATAATATTGTATATGTCCGTACTTGTCCACCATATAAATGAAGTACGGCTGCGATCAAGACTTCCGGATCCGAGGCACACGTGTTATAAGTAATTAAGTTGAACTATATACACGTTAAAAATGATTACGTAATTTGTAATCAGCAGAACTTATACCTGAGACATGTAGAATGAATCGGCAATCAATGAAAACGGTAATTTCCTGTGACTGACGTCAACATTGTCTGAGGTGAATCATTGTTGCTGTTACAGTTCATAACTACGGAAGTACGGAACTACGGAATCGTACAAGGGCCATTTGCGAAAACAAATTCAAGTTACTATCTCGCCGTGTCGAGTTATAAGATCTTGCATTGGCGTAAAATTGAAATCCCACTGCAGCAAATATTTCGGTAATTTTATAAGTCCTCGTAAGCGTGCCGTCGTTTCAAATGACATTTGGTTTTATGCTTGGAACAAAAGGAGATGTTATATTTCCACGAAGCTTGGTTTCCAACACAAAAGAAAACCAAAGAAATATCTTTTGGTTGTGAATTTCCATTCAGGAGAGGGGTAGACTGGTTTTCCTTCTTACAGTTTCCTAAGTACCAAACAGAAGTAAACGGACTTCGAAGTTACGCTTGAATTGTCAACAGTCGAAATCTATTAATTTGTCGTATTTATATGGAGAACAAAAACACTTTTCAAAATGCAACGCATGAAATACCTCACAGCTTCGGACGCGCAAAGCGTTTTAGGTTACTTAGTACCCTCATCCCGCATATTCATTGCACACACGATGCTCACTGGTGCAAAGGTGTCGACCCGTGTTCAAAATAATAGAATGAACTTCATCAAATAACTAAGGCATTCTACAAAAATTAATGTTGTTTTGTCCCTCCCAGCGCCCTGCGCTGTCATGGGTGGTTTTTGTCGAGTCAACGCATGGATGTGAGGTCAAAGAGCCTGGGGATTGTAATCCAGTTGATGGAAAATGTGTGTTAGTGTGCCTTTTAACCTTCTTTTCATTTTCTTTTTGTCTGTTCAAACCTCCAAAACCATGGCAAACTTTAATGTTGAAATGTTATCAATATCGAGGCTTGGTCTGAAATGGCAGCACACAAATATGTCTGGGCGTCGCTAGGATTATTTTCGGGGGGGTACGGCAAATCGTCTAGTTAAAACTATAGTTTTTATATGCCAGAGGGGGTAAATTTTCTTTTTCCTTTTTTTCTCAATTCAAGGTCCCTCTTCGCGGCGCTTACGTAAATATGATAATTTGTGTTAGTATAAATGAAAAGACACTGTAATCTTTTCAACAGACTCTCTCGGGAATCGATGTAATCTACCCCACTTGCGAAGGTGGAAATTCACGCCCCCAAATGAGATTTCTTTTGTTTTTGTGTATTGGAAATCAAGCTTTGTTGAAATACAAAATCTGCTTTTGTTTGAAGCAATCTGAGACCAAGTCTCACCGCATTCCACCCTGATACATAATAGGATTTATAATGAAACTACTGAAATATGTGCCTCGGAGAGATGTCAATTCGACGCTGCGGCGAGATCGTATAACTCGCCGTGGCGAGATAGACGTTCCATGATTTAACTCGCCGCAGCGAGATAGAAACTCTAACAAAATTGCACATGGCCCTTTTACGCTTCCGTACGTACGCTTCCGTAAATGACTGTCCAATAACTGAAGGGCGGAGATTTACCGTTAAAAAATAATTCATTGACAGTATATTTCTGGGGCCCGTGCTGCCAGTAATTGTGAAATTTATACAGGCAAACATTTGCAGTGTATGATTTGGGCATTATGGGTTTCTGTCGCAATTTGCACTGAAATGCAAAATACTACATTATCATTGGTCAATACAGTGGAAGACTGTCTCGCCAATTGACCAGATCCATTTAAAAGAAACAGCAAGTACAAGCAATTAAAGGATCCGATTAAAATTTTGTGCTTTCAGGAAAATAGTTAACCGCAAGGAAGGCCGCGGTGTGATGTTAAAAATGACAACCTTCGAAGGTTTCGATCGATCTCTGTTGATCACCAGAGATCGAGTGGAACATGCACGGTCGTCTGGGTAGTTCATTCTCTTAATTGCTTCCTAGATTAATGGTTCTCGAGAAATTCCGACTTCCTCCTTTCGGACACACCAATTCGTCCAGAAGAACGTTGATTGTCGTTTCAGTCCTCAATGTAATTTTTTTCCGCCCGAATTGTTCTGTCGTAGTTGTCATTATCACCGGGAGAGAAATGACCTACCTGAGTCCCCATTTCAATCAATGATGTCACTGCACATGTATATCCCTCTTGCTCGGTCACACCTTCACAATCCACCCGATTGTTTAAACCTTTAGGTAAAAATATTGATGAAAAATTAAACTAAAATATATGTAGGTCAGGTGGCCATGCACAACTGGGCTAGTTGTTGTCGATAGTCCAGCCAACGAGAAACTACAAGTGCAGCAGAAAAATAAAGTGGAATAGAAAGACGTGCCACTGTCAGTGCCCGTTAATAATTCCTTCATTCCGTTTGCTAAATTTCATTCGAATAAACCGTCTCGGTACCATGGCTTGAGACTAAATGAATTTTTCTTAATTTTGTGAAGACCTTGTGAAGATTGTAGAGAATTTATGCTGGAGTTGACTCTTGTGCTCGACTATACTCTCGGATGGCTTTGGCGCGGTAACTTTCGCCGATATATTGTTTATTCTGACAGAAATCCATGTTGTGTGCGGTAAATAGCCATCTGTTATAGACCAAAACAGCTTCGTTCTTTCTTCCAACTGTTTGCCTATAACATTATAGGAATACTGCCGTTTGCAACGAAGACCTTTACACTTGTCAGTGTGTGTGGCATGAATGTCATTTGCTTCATTTCTGATGAAATGGTAATCCATGTCCTGTCTTGTCTAGTCATGCATCAGACCCCGACTTCAGACCAGACTAAAATGAGCTTCGAATCTTTCTGTGTAAGTCCATATCACTGTTTACCTAACGTATTACGAAGAGGATATATAATCGGCTTCTCTATTACATCTGACAATCACCTACCCTGCATTTCTGATGACAAAATAATCCGTTCGTTTCTTGTCGAACATGACATGTTTTTCCAGCTATTAAACAACTATAGGCCTTCCGCCCGAAAATGATTCATATAATATGGAGGTATTGTATCAAGATAGCTGCGACGGCATGAATGGAGACCCCGGGTGCGGCTCCGCTCTTGGGAAAAAAAGACACGTTTGCTTCGTATAAAGTGTCATATCAGTCGAATAAATAGTGCGCGAAATCTGTCGACCCAGTGCGTGTTTGGAAAGGGTCGACAGATTTTGCCCTCTGTGATTGGTCAACGCGTTGCAAACACTTGGTGGCGCACTCATTGTGAATCGCCCGTAGTGATTCTGTTTTGATCCCCACTCACGAGATTTCCACGGTCTATACGCGTGCGCGTATCTGCGCGGGGACGTTGGTTGCCTCGTTCTCGACTTACGGACGACTGATCATCCAATGATCATCCGGTCAGTTATTTTTATTTATCTTATACAAGAACCCATTTAGTATGCGTGAGTACCAGTTTTATCCATAAGTCACGATTATTAGTGCTGATTTCCCCCGCTGACAGATTTTGAAAGAAGTTTCACGGACCTATGATTATCCGACGAGCTGTCATCAAGTTTAAGTGGCGGCTGTAGAATTATGTCATGGAACCGGTACCGAGTATGCAAGCCGATAAAACCAGATATTTATTGTCTGAATATCCCGATCGCATAATTTCTGTCATTGATGTTTCAGTCTTCCGAAACAAAGTTTCTTTATCGCTTATCTTAAGGGATGTACGTTACTTTGTAAGCCATTATAATTGAACCACAAGCACAAGAAATTGAAATGCTCTTGACATCGCTAGATGTATAAGGTCCCTAACATGGACTTACCTTTCATTCGAATAAGAAAGAATGAAAGAAACAAACGCAAGATTTTTAGTTTTTCATCCTTAAAAAGGGCTGAAATCCTTCTGTATGTAACAATACAAGAATTGTGAGTGCAATATTAAGAATAATTTCGTGAGGTGACAGAATTGGATGCTGTGTAATCATTCTCTAGAAGCCCTGACGCCTTTGAATTGTACCTTCCTCTGGAAGAAGTTTGCAACGGACCATCTGGCTTGCTTCGGTCCGACAGCCCAATCATTAGGTGCCACTAGCAAATAATCTGAAAAAGCCGATTCTCCCTCCAGGCAGATGACCCCGAGAGGGCGTTAGAAGTCCTCTACTCGTATGTGCAAGAGGAGCCTCCCGTTGTCATCGCACTTGGACCTCATCACTTAACGCAAGCAGCCATAGTCAACCAGGTTGCGGCGAGGTACAACATCGTCCAGGTGGGTCCTGAACACATTGGAGCACTCGGGAACTGCTATTGTAGAAAAGAGTTATACAGTCGAAACGAAAAGTAATACTGGGTGAAAAGGTATCTGTGACTCGTGAAGTCCAAATGGATAGATTGAACAGAAAGGTTTATCACCCTATCGCATCAAGACGTTTAAACTGCTTAACCCCTGGGGAAATTACAGACATGCACCATATCCAATAGTTTACACCACCCGGAATATCCTTCACATTGGATTAACGCTTAACACTTTTAGTTCACGTATAGTTACTGCGTGAAAGTTTTTGCCGAATGACAGAAACGCTTTCTCAACATTTAATATAAGCCACCAACTTAAGTTTGCTGCCAATCTTAGTTTATAAACTGGACCGTTCACGATTCTCAAAATGTTGCAATGGATTAGTTTTAAAATGTATTCTCGATGTTTGTGGACAGATGGGACAGACAGCAGACGAAACCCTGACGGATCGAGACCGGTATCCCTACACAGTCCAGACATTACCTAATTATGATGGCAAGCTCTTGGCTGGAGCGGCCTTCTTTCGGCGGATGGGATGGAGGCGTGTCGCCTTCATCTTCGAGGAGCACATTTCCTTTCAGAGTGTGAGATCAAAATTTATCACTTTTCACCCTTTGGACTAGCTTATACACCACAGGCAACAGATCCATATGCACGTTGTTGTCAATAAGCCATTTCCTCTACTAGTGGACGAGTTGCTTAGTTCTGAAACAGCAGCTTAAGTTGAAAAAATGCATAATCAGAAACTTTAAAAAACGATAGTAATAATACCTGTATTTTTTCGACGTTACAAAACCGAGCTTAATGAGGGTGTGCATTACTCTAAGTAGTGGCTAAGCAGTTCCCATAAGACTACAGCAAAACGTGAATTAAGTGTGTTTAAACGTTGAGAATTTACCGTAACTTAAAACAAAGTAAGAGTGTTTTGTAACGACTTTTTTTACGTTTAACTCGTGACATGTTTATTGAAATGTGTTTAGGAATGTGTTCAAATGACGAACACTAACACTTTTCCACGGTACACTGTACATGTTCAGCATTTTAAATCTGCTTAGCATTTAACCACATGTCTAAACCCATAACAGCAAGTCGTGGGTTAAACATGTTAAAAAGTGGGTACAAACAATTTGTAGAAATGCGTTTAAACTTTAAAGGCCTTTTTTAGAGCGTAAAGTCTTTTGACTAATCTCCTCATAACAGCGAATGAGACCTTCCATTATCTGCAATGATAATTTTATATGCATACCTGAACCACGTAATGTCAAGTGATATTATTAGTCTAACAACCATAATGTGGCCTAAATGCTTTCACTGAAGTTTCATTGACTTCATAGCACACGAGGGACTTTCGGAAGATATTAGAAGCGAATGACATTCAGGTAGTGGCATCAGAAGGGATCAAAGACATCGCCAACCTGGACCTCCATCTCCAAAATCTCAAGGTTGGATCTTGAAGAGATAGTCAACAAGCAAACTCTGACCACACACTCTTCTGCTGGAGACTGATACACATTTTTCTTGATTATGAGAAGTGAAATTCTGCCTACCTAACAAACAGCAATCTAGGAATATCCCAACTTTCGCTATACTGTTTTCAAGAAGAGCCATGAAGAAGAACAACTGGGTTTCGACAAAATCACCCCGAGAAGTTTCTCTTTTATCAAAACTACAAAACAACAATATGGAACAAGTTTATGCAGTAGACACCCTCAAAATGATTCTTTGAGAGGTAAACGTTTGCCCGAACCAAGAAATTAAAATGCACACAGCGTATAATTAGCTGAAATCAGTCGGTAAAGATCCGCGTCCGTTCATAAAATCGAAAATCCTCGTTTTCCTGCTTTTTGGCCCTTCTGTTCAATGTATTTTTCCATATAAAGGGCAGCATGTTTATGTGCGCGCCATTGCACGTAACAAACTTTGTGATAACGAAAACCTTAGTTGACCTACTTTTCGGCCTGGGGGCCAATTTCACAGTGCTTTAAGCGAAAAATCTGTTTAAGCGTGAAAAACCTTGCTTGACAAGTCAGGTTACCAGCCCAAACTTCTTGTGATGTATATTGTTTTGGAATGGTATTTACCTGTCTTTTGGTTTGAGCTGATAACCTTTGTTAATTAAGCAAGGTTTTTTGTGCTTGACCAAATTCTGTGCTTAAGCAGCTCTATGAAATTGGCCCCTGTCCAGTCAATACGTTTGTACGTGTAATTCAAGGGACATGTCTCTTCTTGAAACGCAAAATGTAGTCATTGAGATTTGTTACATTAATGTAATCAAAATAAAAAACCGTGATTTTCGAAATGACTTGTGTGGCTCTTCGTGAAAAGGTGACGTATTGACCCCAACATTGCCTATATCACAGAATGTAATTACATTTTTCTTCTATCTCGTTAAGTTTGTTAATCCCGACTTTTGAGGTTTTAGTTAAATCCCTTGTACCCTTGTTAGATTTGGCATGCTAACGAGCAGACTGTTTTTCATCACACTCGTATGATTTCAGCGTCAAGATGCAAGAATCATATTCATCGGACTGTACAAGATACCGACATTGCAATTATATTGTCAGGTAAAACAATATACCCGTGTAAAAATAATTCAAACTTGAAGTTGTCGCTTTCAATACCATTTGGAAGTGGAATTTTTCCCCGAGGGGAAAATTCTTTTCAGAGGTCCAAAATCTCTGTCAATACCCTTGGAAGGATCGTGCGCAGTTCGTGCAGTCCAGCTTCATCATGGTCTGAGAGTACCAAGTGCGTTTGGACCAAAACCTGGCGTAGGTTGCCAAGGAATTGCCCAAAATCCTGCATCAAGCTAGGGCAATGAGCTTTCTGAGCGAAGACCCCGCTTGCTTCTTTACTGATGTCTTTCCCAGATTGATGAACTTTTCAAATTACGGCTAGGAGCGCGAAAATGGTGAAGTTTTAAGAATGATTCAAAACGTGTCTTTCGGAACAGGCTTATCTCGCCGGAATGACAACTGCTAAGTATGTGTGGATTGCCCCGCTTTGGACAAGCAACGTATGGTGGGCGAACCCTTCACCGTCAACCATCGCTCCTTGCTCGGAGGAAGAGATAATCGACGCTGTGGACTCGTCTTTCCATTTCACGGGAAGTAGCCAGGATGATTTACTCAGCCTGGATTACAACGGAGTGGTATGTAATATGTGATACGAAAACAGATCTCCAAATTTCTCCAAAACTGTTGTTTCTCCACGTAAACGCTGGCATTCGCAAACGACGTCCCGGGGAAATACATTAAATTTTCCCGTGCCAGGCTCCGTTGAACGGGCCCATTCGAACTCTCTTTAAAATTTCTACCTTGTAGCAACATTTCAGTCTGAAAAGCCGTGCACATATCTGAACTTTGGTCGTACATTGTACCGGAATTGGGGAATGTGGAATTGTGGGGGATGGTTTACCCGTCCATGGATTTTTTAAAAGCCGGTGGGGGGGGGGGTTGACACCATATGACGCTGGGGGCAATGTTCATGATACAGATTCTGTAAACATATATCACGTTCATGCAGAATCTTATCTCGGAATATTTAGGACTTGGTTGATTGTTTTCCCTTTTTGAGCGATACTTCAGACATTTCAATTGTTGAGAAGTCAAAAAATTGATTGATTCAATAGCCCATCCCCCGGCCCAAAAGAGGGGGAACTGTATCCCCCATTTCCCGGGATTTATGCACCCATTACAACAAACTGCAGTGTTTATGGAGAGAAATTTCGGCGACTGGGTCCCTCCAGCCCCGTCCTCGGCCCTTGTAGTGTTGCATCAAAGACATTTTGATGTTGAATTCATAGCGCCTTCTTGTTCGAAGCAGCGAACACAGCAATGCAATCAATTCGTTTTGGTTCGTAAGCCCTGGCATTCCGTACATTAATTTTCTCTGGTTTCGGGTGACTTACCGGTGTTGTCTTATGACAAATTTAATAAATATGTTGTTGCCAAAAGTATGCGCTGGAGGTATAAGGAAACTTTGGATAGTTTATTAATGACAACGCAGGACTTTATTCTTGGTTCTACCGCAACATAAGAAGACTTTACAGAATACTTTTTGACATGAAAATTCTGATTCAAAACAGTGTGCGCTTATTGCAATTTCAGAAGCCCTTGCCAGAACACATCGACTACTTCAATAGCGTGCCGATAAACTATATTGCGTTTACGTACGACAATGCTATCGCCATAGCACTGGCCCTGAATGCCTCCATAGCGGACCTACAGCGTCTCCAGCCCCCTCGTAGGCTTGAAGACTTCAGCTATTCCGACGAGGACATGGCAAGGGTGATTTTACATCACGCTGATAACATCGATTTCACTGGACTGCAGGTAAGGCTTAATTGCCCCTCCCCGAAAAACAAAAACATTTTCTGAGTGGCACCTGTTTATTTATCTTCTTTATCTATAGTGTCTTCTGGTTATTGGTGAGCATTTAAGATCGGATCAACGAAGGACATAAACCGAGAGCTCTAACCAAAAGTCCAAATTCGATCTGAATCCGCGATAGCTTTGGTTTGATCCGATCTGATGTCGGCTTCGGTTAAGATGCGGTTTCAGATCGGTTTCAGCTTCACTCTGGTTCATGGTTCTAATCTTGGACTAATTTGGCAAAAGTAACAGAAATGCAATAATTTCGTGGTTCTGCAGATTTAGTCGGGCACATTGTTTCTACAGCAAAAATCACCGCACGCGAGAATGACAACTTTTTTTGGGGGGGGAGGGAGAGAGGGAAATGACCAAAAATGAAACACAAAAATATCGTTGAATCAAATCCCGTCCAGTTTCAAAAGTTAACTCGAAATTTCGCGTGGAATTAATTTTAAAAAAAGTCATATTTGTTCGCCCATCCTTACTGGATCGCCCATCCTTACTGGATATGGACGACAGGTTTCACAAGTGTGCATAGACTAATTACATTGTTCACGTCATGGGCAGGGGCGTGTTCTGCTTGAGAATGGTCAACAAACATGGAGCAAGGTGCAGATAAAGCAGGCCCAAGGTAAGTATCACGCTTTATGGTTTACTTTGAAGAAAACCTGTGTTTTCTGCCAATTTATCACATGCACAATCAATGTTTCATAAAAACACATAAAATTATTACTTACGAAGACGCCAAGGCTCGAAGATGCTTTCCTTCATTATAAAGCCGAAGAACACGAGTGGCATAGCCGGGGAAAGGCCCCCTCCCTTGGGAACTCTTGCTCCCTCTTCTGAGGGGAACCTGGCTATATGCCACTGTGAATAGGTGAGCAATTCAATAGTTTTACACGCATGTCGAAAGAGCATAGGTAAAAATGAGTTGTGTCCATTCCCTCGACACAAAGCGTGCATTTAGTCCACTCTGGAACCAGAGGTGATATCTGTAGTCGATATTCAGAATCACATAGCAAGGACATCTTTCGGTCGAGACAGACGGAGAACGCGTAGGGGTTAGATATACAACGTGTCCCCCAATGGTGCGAGCAAATTCTGTCCATTGTAAACATAAAGACAACTGGCAGAATTTATAACTTGCATGGGTTTAACGAGGACACTCTTAACTTAGTGATGCTTCTTTTTTCATCTTCTTTGCTTTCTTTGGCAAGTCAGAGGTATGCCCCAATAGACACAACCACTGAAAACTGCGCTTGTACCATTTTTAAGTCAATAGGCTGCTGATGCATGTTTGGAATCGAATTGTAAAGGTGAAATGAACATGTTCCAATAACAATCTTTACATATCCGTGCCTGAATGATATCTTCTGAAACTGTGTAATTTTCTTTCAGGAAACAGCTGTTGTGTAAACAGAAAAGCCATTACACTGAATGATTGAGCTGCTGGACCGCAGTAAACGAAAATATCTCTGGAAATAAAAGGCCTGCAGGAAGTGAATTCTCGAAGATAAAAGAACGCAAATGACTTAAAAGCAGTCATTTCAACCCCTCCAGTCCTCAATCCCTTAATTCAACGTGATTTCGCAGACACCCTACAGGGGTGAAGGTTATTAAGTCTGAACAATCCTCGTGCACTTCGCCTCTATAAGTCGTGGGAGAGACATATAATAGGCCCATTTGCTTTTTGTAGCATTACCTCTGCATAATTTCTTTTGAATCACACGTATCTGTTTGGTTTTGTGGCTTAAATCGTCAACTAAATTCGCATTTGGCATTTACTGATGAGAAAAAGTCTTAGGTGATGTATTTTGTTACATTGTTACGTCCGCACCTTCCATAAAGGAGTTAATATGAGCTTTACTTTTGCATTGAAAATAATGACAACTTGTCTCGGCTGTTTCCTATGGCCTGTGTGTTGTTACACCTTAATTCCTTTGTTCTTCCCAGGATTGGAGCTGAACGCAGTTATGATTTATGACACGAACGAAAAGTTACTTGAGACTTCGGGACTTTCTGATATTAAATGGAAAGGTAAAACGTACCTTAGTACAGCGTACATTTCGGGTTGGTTTTGTCGTTAGAGTAATGTTGACAAAATTTCTTTTATGCAAGGTTCGTTAAAAAATGATTAAAATAATGATCGACTAAACTGTGCGTACAAAAAGTGAATTCACTTTTCATAATCAAATCGTCCTTGGGATCAGTTTTTCTAGCAAATTTTCTGAGGCATGCTGCACTTTCATCGAGTGGTTGGAGCTGCCAATTTTCCCAAACTACACAGGACCATTGCATTTGTTGCATCCAACACAAAGGGAATATCTAAAAAGCAAATATAATATTTCTTCCCATTAAGTTCTTTGTTTTGGACAGGCTGGCATCTTTGTGCAAGTTCAAAGAGGATAATTGCTAAATAAACTCAACTGTTATTTACTCAGTGTGACGTATTGACAAATTAAACAGGCCTTTTCGCTTTCTTGTCCGTGCATTTGGGTTTCTTTGGCCGCAAACATATTCATGCGAGCGAGGAACTTGCCTGGAAAAAGAATTTTTGAGAATGTGTCGCCAGTCTTTTGCTGGACAGTTGAATGAAGCTGTTAAACAGCAAAGAAGAGCACTGATATCGAGCTTAGGTGTCGGAATATATTTCCGAGATAGAGAAATAGAAATAGGTAGGTAACAATCTTAAGGAGTTAAAAAAACAGGAACTGTGTTCATGAGAATTTAAGAGAAAATAATCACAGACTAACAAACATAGTAAATGGAGAAATGCAGGGAGCAGCATGATAATGGACACTACATACATGTTAACCCATGCCAAAAACAGTCCAAATACCCCTCACAAATCCTGAAAAGCCCGAAGGGTGCTTGCATACTAACAAAGACACTTCACTCGGTCGACAGAAAACACTTCCAAAGCAGAACGAAAATCATCCTAATCAAAACTTACTGTGCAAGAACTAAAACGGAGCAGAGCCAATTGGGAACAAATGGGTTTCCAATTGTTGTTTTATTTCTCATTTCACTGACAGGCAATCACATCCCAGTTGACGGTGTTACAATGACACGCGTGATTCTGGAAATATCACCCACAGTCCGAGCCATCCTCTACTCTCTGGCCTCTCTCGGTGCTGCCATAGCGTTAACTCTCCTCGTGATCAACATCAGATACAGAAACAAGAGGTGAAGAAAATCTACCCATCCCCACCCGGGTGGTACCTCCTGCGAATCTCAGCCTCTAAGCCTCTGGCAAGCCGATATGAAAAGTTTCAGGGCTTATACTTTGTCTTATGTTGCCAATAATCCCAACTTTCCAAAGGGACAGTATCCAAAACGTCCCAAAGCGTTTTTTTTGGGGGGGGCATGGCTGTGTGGCAGTGAACAGGTATAAGGAGCAGGATTCAAATGACTTTCCTCGCTCAGATTTTCGGTTGATAATAAAGGATCTTTGATGTTGTTTATCATGTGCATGTGGAAAACACTTGTCTCCGTAAAAGCTACTTGAAGAAAGGGTGTACGGATAGCAGATTTCTGGATTCCAACTTTCATATTGTAATTTAAAAGCCAGCTGAAATATTGACGGCGATGTACATTTATAAGTCTTTCAAGGCAGACAAGACGTAACAGGCGAAACCGTAGGCTTGTCATAACATGGCACACGCTGTCAACAATTGCATTACAGTTTGTTGACTTAAAACACTCAGTATTTACTCAGACCTCTGTTTCCATGAACTGTAATCCATTTTTATCATTTGTTTTCGTTTGGTTGCTTCTGGAGAGTGGCGATCCTGAATTTTAATGCTTAGTCAAGGTGAGGTTCAAAGGCAGATATCGTTTCGTTGTTGTTGCAGGGCCATCAAGATGTCGAGTCCTCCCCTGGGTAACCTGACTGTGGTTGGTTGTTTGCTTCTCTACGCCTCCGTCTTCGCCACAGGTTGGGATAAGAAGAACCTGTCAGATACGGCTATAATCGTGAAGTGTCACGTGAGTGTCGACCGGGACGAGGAATTAAGTACGGTAACGGTAGCCAGGCTCTTCCTAGAGTGGGGCCAAAGGGGGAAAGAGTTGGTAACGGTTGACTTCCATCAAAAACCCACGAATCTGTTACAGTTGTACCCAGTGCAACACCCGGTACTCGATGTGGACGTTAAATTAAGTGAATATTTTAATATCTGTGTGGGCTTTAACCCTAGGTTTGAACTGTGGTGAATTAATGGAGTTGATTCCTGGTATAAGTCGGGAGATCTTTCCCGATCCACTGCGCTCGTTTCTTATTGTGGGACGTCAGTTTCTGTATTCTATCCCTTTAGCTTGAGAGGATGTTGGTCTCGCTTGGGCTGTCGTTTGCGTTCGGTTCCATCTTCATGAAGACATACCGGATACATGCCATATTCACTCTTGCGGTGAAGAAATTTAAACATATCGTAAGTATGCAGGTCTATACACATTTCATGTCATCTCTCACGTTTACCTCTCGTCAGACAGTATTTACAACATCGTATCAATTTGGAGACTGCTTCAAAGACGACCACTTTAAATACTAGTTTTTTTGTGGTGAGACAAAATAAGGCAAAAAAAAAAAAACCTTGGGCAAATGATCAGTGTGTATTGGGAAACTCCCTCGTTTTATCATGTTGGGGGCTTTACATCTCAAAATGATGTACAAAGGAACAGGCCGTTTCTTGGCGATCGTTCTGAACTGACGCAGCACTTCCATGTTGCTGGCTAACAAGCATAATATGACTTTGGGATTTTTCAGTCTAGGTTCAGTCAGTCTTTTTAATATTATTATCTGCTCATACGACCCCACTTTAGGACCTACCAGACTGGAAGCTCATTGGCGGAGTATTCTCAACCGTGTCTGTGGACTGTCTGATATTTGTCGTTTGGATCGCTTTGGAGACGACAACCGTCGAAAGGTTCAGTCTTGAGCCACGGGTATGTTGGTGTTGTTGCAATTACTGATCTTTTTGTTGGTGCTATCGTTTCAGTTGTTTCTGGTTTGACCATTGCTGATGCCCTTGTTTTACAGCTTAACATGACCGAGCCTGAGAAGGAGATCTATGAGGTTCCAGAGATTCGTTTCTGCAGCAGCACGAACGAGCTTTATTTCATTATCGCCCTCTACGTCGTGAAAGGAGTTCTTCTGATCTTTGGCATTTTCTTAGCCTGGGAGACAAGGAACATTGCGGTCTCCCAGCTCAATGACAGTAAGAAGAAAGGATAATAAAATACTCTCTTTGATATTACTAGGCCTAATGTTTCATAGTTTTTAGAAATATCTTTCACATTTAGCAGGCCTGCTGGAGTTGCAAGTTAAAAACAAACAAAACGTACTTTGGGGTTTTTTTTTCTCACTTATCAGCGTTTTCCTTGTAGGGGCAGAGGGTTATAATTTGTAGGCCTACCTGAGGACCTATTCTTATCGTATTCACTGTTTCCCATGTACAAGGGCATACACCCAAATACAATTTCCAAAGCATTCTGATCATGTAGGCCTACACAGTATGCAGCAGTGTGTTGCGTCACGCTGACATTATATGTAACTCCTCTACTGTGCTATAGGTAAATACATCGCAGGATCAGTGTACATCGTTGCTTTGGCCATATCCTTGACGGTCCCAACAATGACTGTTCTCGGCGATGACGTCAATATGACGTTTCTTGTTCTTGGGGTGACGGTTGTGATTGTCAACACAGCCGTGTTGTGCCTAAACTTCATCCCAAAGGTATTCTTTCCATGCTGAGACTAATACCGATTCTAATGAGAAAGGGACGTTTCACTGCCAAATCTAAACGATGTGTTTGTTGTTCACATTTACCGTTTCTGTAAATCGTCAGAATGCAAGACATTCAAATATTCCTTTGCGTGTGGTCATCATGCTAGTTTAAACACAGTGAAAATTTCATTTCATTTTTTTAAAGAAATTCATTTATTGTTTCAAATTTCCCTTAGGTGTATCTTCTCCTCACTGTGCCAGATAAAGACATCAATTTGAGTATGATGTCATCGATGGGGTATGGCGGTTCCTCTGGGAATAATGTGAGCAGGACATCCCAGACCTATGGGAGCAGTGAAGCGGAAGGGTTACACTTAAAGTGTCACCAGGTAAACAAAACCATCAAATATTTTCAAGATGTCTTTCACTTCTTCGAAATTTTGTCATAGTCTACCACGCAATTAAGTAGGAACCGAAACCCTAATCCACATAAGCATCAAAATGGATTGTTCCAGGAAGAATAGAAATAGATTCCTATATATTTTACTGTCATTTCTAACTGTTCAAACAGCGAAAAGCAGAGCTGGAGCGGTTGTGCAAGGAACTACAGGTCTTGTGCCCTGAGGAGACTGGCACAACTGAGGTTATACGACTGTCAAGTACGCTGTGTAAACGGACAGCATGAGAGTTTGTTCGGACGGCTCACAAAATAGCGCCCAACTTTGACGAACTACTCGCTTCTGCACCAAAGATGACTTTTCTTAATCAGTTCTTAATTCGTGTGTAAGAAGTATTTCGGTGAAATTCTTATGTTAGTTTGTGTAATCATTCGAAGACATTGTATGTGGGAATATGCCACAAGTGATACATGCCACGGGAAATCCCCCGCTTTTTGCACCGCATTGCTCAAGACACTAACCGCACACATGTAAGAAAATATATTACGCCCCTATCTATTCCAAGTCAAATCACTAGCACTTAAACTGTTCGTTTTGAGGTTGGTAACATATTTCTTATTTGTTAAGTCCTTAATATAAATTGATGTTGTTGCACCATTTACCACTGGATAGAGAAGAAAGCATGGATCTAAACCCCGACTCCTGTGTCCTTACTGAATGGAGTTTGGCCGTCTAAGTTTGCTGAGATGAACTTCCGGGAGACCCTGAAAACATGTGGGAAAAACACAACCAACTAAGCCTCGAATGGTAATTAAAACGTTCACGATTTTCTCAGTGAACAACGCATGAATATGACAGATTGATGTGCAGTTCCAGTTCAAAATTCTTGTACTACACGAATAACAGTAGAAGCCTTTAATCCTGTCCGAAATAAACATGCAAACTGATAATTAGACTTTTCACCGAAAGACTGAATCGATTTAATATATCAACTGTGTACCAACACAAAAATGCATTACTTCCTTTATTTTGAATTAGGTGAATATAATGTCAATTTGGATAGATCCAATATTTAGCAAATGGTCTATACATTTGGCGATAGATCAACTTGGACGAGCAAGAATGCAAAAATGTGAGAACCAAAAGACGTTTGAAGCAGATATGGCTATAAAAAAGGGCGTAGGCATCTAGCCTAGTTTCCATGGAATAATTAATTTACGCTTTTAACCTAAAAGCGCTCAGTGACAACAGCTCAACATGCCTTTCAGAGTGTACGACATTATCAAGGATTACTGTCCCTTGGGCAGCCGGAGGAAAAGACTCCCCATCACTTTGTGGTTGTCATGGTACAAACCGTCTTTTTTCATGCGCGTCGCCATTGATGGATTCATCACTGTTGCAATCATCAATACCACAAAGCTTTGCCTATGCCATCATTGCCAAGCTTGGTTTGTTAATAAGGTGTTTTTTAGGCGAAAATGCGCCTCAATTCCATGTTCAGGGGCTAAGTCATTATTACCCCCGCCCGTCGTGCCCATCGAAGTAGGGCCCACCGTAATTTTCAGAATGTAAGCCGCAGCACGAAACAAACGGCAAATTAAGATTCGAAGTCGGTGTATAAGCCGCAATGGCGTATAATTAAAGCCGCACCGTAGCGCTGACGATCCGCAGTGCTGACTTTACCTGCGACCAAAAAAGTATATACAGTGTGACGCTGTGGATTTAAGAATAAACGACAGGTCAAAAGTATCATTCATGTACCCTAAGGGGTGCCTGTAGTATTTACTGGTGGGTGGTGAAAAGATGTTTGCACGGAGTCAGTTGCCAATGGACACATGCACAGTACAAGGCCAACAAGTCAAACAAGAAGTAGAATTTACCCACAGATTTTGCAAGGGCGGATCCGGGGATAGGGGCAACGGGACCACACCCGCAAAAAGAGTTAAGACTTTTTTAAGGTGATGCAGAATTGTAATGACTCAGGTCAATGACTCGATTCGAGTCCGGCTCGAGTCATAATTTTTGGCTACTCGACTCGACTCCCGACTGGTAAATGACTCGGCTCGCCGAGTCCCTCATCAGAAGACCCGACTTGAGTGAAACTTAAGACTCGAGAGTCCAAAAGCATGAAAGCATACTTCCTAGCCCAAAAAATATTTGCAGTGGCTTTGTTCATGACGTGTGACGATCATCAAGAGTAAGATGTAATGCAACCACAAAACCCAGAGGTAGATTTTTTTTAAAAATGCAAAAATCGACTTTCTGACTTGTATTTGTTTGTAGTTTTGTGTTCAGAAATTGGTAATTTGAACTGTAGAGCTAAATACTTGATTCGACTCGACTTGCCGAAAGACTCGACTCGATTCCAGTCACTATGTTAAAATGACTCGACTCGAGTCATAACAAATTCGTGACTCTTTACGACTCAAGTCATTGAGAAAAATACACACTTGCGTGGATGTGTACAGTCACCAGAAGGAAAACTAAATTCCACATTCCAGCCAAAATGGGTAATTTTATTGGGTCTGCGTGGCACGGAAATGCGCGTTGGTGAGATCTTTAGTGCGGTACCATTCACTTCACTGCGTTGTTCTCCAGTCTCCCCTTCCATTTTAAATTTGAAATATACACAGTTCACGTAGAAGCTACATTTAATTTACTTTCAGTGCCCTCTTGAAAAATGGTTGGATTCCCGTTTGCCTCTCGGAGATTACACCATATTTACGCCAGTGGTTACGGTACATTTGCCAATTTTGTAGACTTTGAAGAACAGTACGGTACCTCATTTGTGCCCAATCTCTTTTCTTTCTTTTTCTTCTATCAATGAAGCGTAAGAGGGCAGGGCCTGAGAACGTGCTTCCGTGAATGCTTTAACTGGACGCACAACATACGGAATAAATTATTATGTACCCTCTCGCGGAGCGGCCCCCATGGTACACTGGCACACTTCTTTACGTCGTCCTTTGCAGCCTCTCAGAGCAAAGCTTTTGACAAGGTAAAATTTCAATAAATTCTAAATACTCCCGTTCTTCATCATCTCTCGGGTAATAATTCTGCCTAAATGCCAAAACATTTCCAGTACTTTGCATATACTTCGGTGATAATATTTTAGCAAAAATTATACTAGGAAAATAACAAAGCGGGCAGACGAAGTTTGCCAATTGTAGACGGAGATTCACAAGTTTGAGGCTAAAATTTACTGATCCTTGATCCCAGTCGCACAAAAGAGTCATTTTGGACAGTTTCTGAGGAAAGATTAACAAGGGGAACACTACACAATGGTGAGAAAATACGGTTCTGCCTAAGCCTGCTTATGTCAAATGCTACGTCATAATCAAAGTAGTCTGCGGTGATGAACCAACACTTAACCAAAAATCAATCTGGCTGAAAAATTTCATTTTAATCCCTTTGGTCTAGTTATCATCATTATAATTGAAATTCCTATGTGGTCTTTATGCCCATAAATCACGACTGCCTATTTCAGAATGGGCACCTGCACAATATACAAACAAGGAAACTCAACAAGTTATAAAATAAGATTTATATTTATTTTACCAGTAAAAACAAAACTACATGAAAATATGTAGAGTTATTCATTACGTACCACAAGCATGTTTCTAGTAACATATTTAATTTGCACATTTGTACAATACATAGTAAGAAATAAATACGAAAGAAGAAAAACAATCTTGAGGCCTCCATTGTATCGCACAAGTATTTATTTTTACTTCCTAAGTATTCAGGGTGGCAGACAAAACAAGACAGCAATTCTTTTCCTCAGACTGATGACTGATATTTATGCACTGCAAAACTTGTGTTGCGAACCTGAACAGCCTTGATATCCAGTACTACTCTGGTTCCAGACTAGATTGTCAAGTGTAATGAATGTTTCCTTTTGTGTGTGTGCCCAGGGGCATAATGTCCAAATAGTATTTTCTTTGTCCAGGTCAGTTTTGGGTGTCTGCCAAAACCAAAATATACTGTGTGTTTTTCAATATTATATTTTTTGGTATTTGAACCTGGATTGATTGACTATCACTGGCTTAATATAATCATGTGAGATTAAGGAACCTTGTAAATAGGCAATATTCAAACCTTGTAAAAAATCTGTCCCCTTTCAGCCATTTTCTCCTAAAGCGAGGTGACAAACAAAATTGTAAAGTACAAAATCTCATCACAAAAAATAAAAGAAATTTAAGAAGCACTTCATCAAAACAACAGACAGATGTAAAAAAATGCGCAAAAACTACTTGAGATTACGCCAATAAAAAGTGACATGGCGCAATGTTTTGATACAAATATTACAAGTCAATCACTGTTTTGCTTTGAATTTTCAGCTTACCATTAAATCCATTGTAGTAGTTATTTCTTTCCAAACAATGCATCAACAAATGTGTTTCTTTGTGCTCCAAGTATCTTTTACAAGTTCAGATATTTCTTCATCTATGCATCCATTGTTACAGTATCATTTGCCATTTTGTGTGGAGAACCACATTACAGTGTCATCAGTGAAAGAAGCAGTGCCTACTGGGGAGTAAAACATTCAACCAATTGTTGGCTCTAATAATGCAGCGACAAATGACAGATGACCCAACAAGGATTTATTCAAGCATTTTGAAATGATTGATAAATTGTTGAAATGAGATGGTCTTTGTATACAGGCACCCTTGAATGGTTCAAAAGGGCAATTCAATCCAGCAAACCAGAGAAGTGCCAGTAGACCTAGAGGTTTATGCCCTTGTGGAATACAAATACTGCACAGCATGGCTTGAGGGAAGTAGTGGATTCGCGTCGGGAGGTAGTCAAGCTGACCTACACCTCTGGACCAGTGATTCCCACTTTTTTCCCGAAATCAACCATGCTGTATTTGTTTTACTACACTTCATAAATATTCAAACAGAAATCTCACGTTACTTGTACTCACAGACGCCATTGTTGTTTCTCAGCTGCTAAATTTCCATGTAATGATAGTGGAGTGCAGATGTGCATAGAAACAGGGCTTCAATAGTCTTTACTGTAATAGTTATTAGGATACAACTCCAGACTGGTTCCGTAAAGACTACATATTTATGCGGCGGGTTCTAGAGGGATTTTTGATACTACCAGAAAAAAATACCGCACGGCAGCGAGGTGGATACTCACCGCTATGATGTCACCTGGTCGCGTATCATTTCTACTTCCCAGACGTGAGGTGGAATCGGCCAATGATGTGCTCCGATTTGCTCATGAATATTTATGAGGTGTAGTAATAAATATTATTTGTGCATTCTTCGCATGAACCACGATGCCCATGCATTCCTTGTCTATGGAACCATTCTGACATGGACCCATTGTAGCTCTCTCGCTACAATGGGTCCATGTCAGAATGAAACATTCACTTAAAAAAGTAAAGAACTGAATCTACACTATACCTGAATTTGATTCAATGATTAACTATCATCAAAATTCTGTAATCAAGTACATAAGGTTTTTACCCAGGATTTCTAGACGTCTGTCTCATTTAAGTAGAACATAACTTATAAAGAGATAATTGCAAAAACTTCTAATTTACAAACTATTATTAATTATACTGCATTCCCCTCTATTCACCACTCTGAATGGCAAGAGGGGGACCAGAGAGTATGGTATGCCAGGACACAATAAGCTTGTCATGTCAAAAATGGGTTCACTAAGTACTGCTTAACGGTGAATAAAGCTGCCTTTACACAAATGAATTGTCATTTGTATTGACTAAATTTTTAGGCCTACACACTATAAATATCTGTTCTGTGTTCCATAATAGGGAGGCTTGGGCAATCCATCAATGCCACTGGTACCCTACACCAAGTGCTCATGCTCAGACACAACAGCATTTGCAAAATTATAGGTGTGTGCAAAATGCATGTGCCTGACAAGCATACACATGTATGCCATGTGTCGCTGCCCCCGGGAAAATCATTGCTTGGTAAGAAAATCTTCCTCACCGAGTATGCCTGTGCATGTATGCAAATGGAATGAAGGTCCATTTGTGGAAAGATGGTTTTTGAGGTAATACTGTTCTTGGCCGAGAGAATTGCACATTTTAAGGTAACTTCATATTGTACTTTTACCCATACGGTCCTTCAAGATGTCTTTCAACAATTAATGAAATCTGCAGACAGCATTTCCAGGGATCTTGGAAGACTTCATTCATCAGTGACAAACTGTAGAGATGCAAGGAATCTGTTGTATAGAGGCAAACTGCTCAAGGTTCTCCACCTGTGAAGACAAATGTTTCAGAAATGCACAGCCACAAATAATGCAACCAACTGCTCGATAACTACAGCAACCTGAAAGTTAGAAATAAAAAAAAAACCAAGAAAATTAGAAAACCTAAAATTTAGGTGATATTTTCAGATCTGACCTCAGTCTGTAAATGGGTTGTGGGAACTGGTACCAAAGACCAAGCTTGGATTCTCACTTGCGAAACAATTTATCACATCAACTGTAGTGTGCAAACTCACGGCAAGTATTTGGCAAACAAAATCGACAACAGAACCGTTCAGGCTCACAGTCACCATTGCAGCCTCAGGACAATGCAACTTCCTCACAGTCTGATCCTCAGCAGTCAAAAGCATGGCCATAGTCTCATCATTGTACACAAAGTCAGGGGCCAGGAAATAACCAATGCAGCACCTGGCAGTTCGATCTCATACAAAACCTTTTGTAGGTCTTGGTAAAAATCTACACATTGATGCCAGCTTCTGATTTCAATCTGATTTGAAAGCCGTTTTTAAACTACTTTTATTTTCACAAGAGAAACACTTTAACGTCTGATCACCAAAGTGAGCTTGCCTGAGAACAAAAAGTTCTGTAAAATGTGTGATTACAGTCATCAACTTTGGAAAAGATGTCTTCTTACTCAATTTCAAGCCTATGAGACTCCAACTTTAGAACTCAGACTTTTTACAATTAAGTATACCAACTTACTTGGATCCTCTTCTAAGCTTCTGAGGGCATCCTGTACTGTGCTATGGATAGACATGCCATCAAGGTTTGCCTTTTGAAGCAACGCTTTAACATTGGGCTAAAACAGCAAACACAAATTCAAATATGGTTTCAGTATTAGTCTGGGATAAATGCTTGAAATAAATATTGTTAGATGTACAAATCATTTATTCATTACAGGTGGCATGCTAATTGATGCCATGCAAATAACGTTGTAATGACCATGTTTACTGGGGAGAAACAATTCATCCTGAATGTTTCTTAAGTTAAATCCTAAATGTATGTGCAGAGGAGTGGCAAGTATTCTGAACTGTTTTAATATCATGAAGGATAGACACTTCCCCCCCTTACATGTATGCGCTCTTTCCATTCCCTTAAAAACACTGACATTGAACAGTAACGACAACCTATCGTAAAGGACTCACTTTGGCACAGGCAAATAAAAGCTCAACCTTGGCTTTCTTGAAGTCATTCAGTGCATCATTCAACCCCTGGGAATGGATCCATAAACAGAAATTAACATGAAAATACTCAAGTTTCTCAAAAAGAGCCATGCCTACTTCAAACAGCACAAGAAATCTCCATGCATGCACAAGAGTAGGAAAATTTGTAGGAAAATTAAAACTGCATATTCAATGCAATCAGGTGCATGTAGTGTGCAAATGTTCTATACATGCTCACATGTTAATCCAAATATCTTGGACATATTACGTGGCTGATGTGTGTCATGAAAATTTGACGACCAAAATGCCAATGCAGTTGGCAGTCTGTAGGAAATGATGTCATTTGATAGAGAGTTACAGAATCTAAGACATGACTTTTCTAGTAACTACTACATAAGATGGTGAAAATGGCCCAAATGCACATAACAACCCTGCACGTATTCTAGTCTTTCCACAAAATAAAGATATTCACAGATAGTTGGACTGCCACAGTGGGCAGATGACAGAGAAGACTCTACCAAGAACACGTACCTCTATAATGGTGTAATCAAGTCTTGACACACAGCTGAAATCAACTATAACTGGACGCGTATAATCCTTTTCATGTAGTTTCTCATTGAGGACATCCACTATGTACTCAGTGGATGGATAGTATATACTGTTGGCAAACTGGATAACTACTGCTGGTGTGGACCGCACCTTGGGTGAACAACACCATGATATCAAGATAAAATGGTTCTAAGTGCTAATTCCTATAAATCCTTCCCACTAACTTGACACACCAATTCACATATTGCTCATTTACAAGTTAAAATATATAGGCAGTGCTATTAACAAAACTATGTAATAGGCGCCATTCCATAGATCCCTGGAAATGACTTTTGCTGTCGCTGTCTGCAATACGATAGCAAGCCAGAAGGAATAACCTCGTACAAGTATTTAATTACAACCTTTAAAGAAAGAATATTTTTACCACTTGACAATAATTTGGTTGGTTGATTTTTGGATAGCTACATATGATCCACTCAACCTTGGAACTACGTATTATTACCTGTGTGTGGGTTTGTGCATTCACAGGTGTGGCCATCTGTTCAGATGATACGGGTTCTATCACCTTGATGCCTGGTCTGGCTAGGTAATACATCATAATCAACAAATCCACAGCCATTCCAATGGCTGTTCCATAAGCAACGCCCAGGAACAGCGATGATATACAAGTGGCTGTGAAGGCCAGGAGTTCTATTTCTGAAACAAAGGCAAACATTGTTTCAAATGATTTTGATAAGTTTCCAGTTGCAAACTGGAAGGATGAAGGGCTTCATTCAATATACTGTAGCCATCTTCTCAACCAGATCAAAGAGAGGCAATTGATAGATACTTGAACGTCATTGCAACTACTAGTTTCCAGTGTCCAGATAAAGACATCTGTGCCCATTCAGATGAAAATTATTTGTACATATTTCTATATTGCTTTTTGTGCCAGTTACCAAGGTATATTTTTTAACACTGTGTACTCTGTATTTTGAAAAATCCACAAGCTCATTCAGGTGGGACCCGAACCCAAGACCCCCTGCTTATGGTGCAAACATCTTACCCCTTGACCTCCAAGATTGCTGAGGCTGGGTAGCTGGTTGGCGTCAGACGAGCAGTGGGTGCCATGAATAAACGTTCATGTAATGTGCGTGTGTGTACTCATCAATAAGAACATGAATGCAATGAGACTTACTTCTCAACTTCCAAAGAACCAGGACAATCTTGTAATTGACCATCTTCAACACTGCCACAATGATGACAGATGCCAAGGCTGACTTTGGAATGTAGTAAAAGGCTGGAGTCAGGAAACTCAGGGCTAAAATGACTACTGCTCCAGTCACCAGACCTGCCGCGGGAGATTTCACTCCACTCTGAGAATTGATGGCAGTCCTGCAAACAAATGAACGGGATATTTCTAAGTCATTTTGCAGCAGTTATAAATGCAAAAATCATGTAAACATTTCCACAAACACCTTGTTAAGAGATCATGTCCAGGGTCTTCCTATTTACAGGTACATCATGGACTATGGTATAAAGGTTTTGGTTGTAGCCATTAGCAATACACACATCTGTAGGAAGTAACTGCAGCTGGTAACCAGTGGTTTTCACATAGGCATGTATAACTTTCAACAGTAGTCAAAACTTTGGGACATAGCCTCACTAGCTAGGTTGTAATTGACTGGAACGTTCCCAGTCATCAAGACTGTTATGCATTCTAGTGAATGAACTATGCACTTACAAAAAAAGGAAGAACAAGATTACAATTGAATACAATATGTTTCTAAATGTTCAAATGTTTCAAGGCTATATTCCATGAAGTAATAGAATGCTTAAAACACTTACAGGAAAGCTCTGGTAGTCAAGATAAAAAAGAAAAACAGGTATTCATTGATCACATTAACCAAATGAATACTCAGTCTTCAAATAGGAAAAGGACTGCAGACTGTCAGGGTTAACAGACATGACTGCTTTTTTGAAAACAATAAATAAAGGAGGCAATTGTAACTAACTCTCTGCTTCCCTTTCACTGAGCACTGATGTTATTTTCACCTTTCTCTTTTAGAATTTTTCACCTTTAGTTTATCTCATTTTATTTCTTATATTTATTTTTACACAAATTTAACCAAAATACTTTTTTTTTCCAGTTCAGCCTTTTTTTTTCTAGTTGAATTTACCATCCTATTTTACCTCATTTCATTAATTTATTTCAAACTGGTTCATGTACACTTCAGCTAACTTAACCCTAACAGTCCTGAATCCCCCAATTTTAATATAATTTTGTACATACCCTAGGGAGTTAGGGTTAAGTATCTCATAATTTTCAATTGTCACATTTCTCATTTTAAATGCTGTTCAGCAGTCATTTACACCCAGATCAGTTTGGGTGAACTTGAACTCAAAAAATGGATATGGTTCAAGATTTTTCCACAACCCTTGACCTTGTCATTTATTAATGATAATTCTTAAGGCTTTTCTTCAATGAAACAATTTTATGTTCAGATTTGCACCTGCTAGCATGGCAACACTTGTTCCGTAACTGTGGGGACAAACGCACAAAAATTTGCCTAACAAAAGAAATTGTCCCTTACCCGGTGAAAGCTTACCTTCAGGATTCTGCCATACATGTATATTTATAGAAAATAACAATTAAATGCTTAAAACCATAGATGTCAAATTGATATAGATGTCTCTAGAAGAGCTCATTCATGGGAAAAGTCACCAATAACGGAAGCCATTTACTTGTTTTCACACTTTTTATGAAGTACTATAGTGTTACCTGAGTGAAAAGTCAGTCTGCTTTGAAAAGACTTAGATCTCTGGCACAGAACACTTGAAGCAGAGAATAAAGCAAGTGTACGGGCAGGAATCTTAATATTGTTTAAGAAGTAATTTGCTGGGAGGTTACCTTGAGAAGCTTCCAGTTACGGGATAAGCTGACAGAAAAGATCCAGCTAGATTACAACAGCCTAACAGTAGCAACAAAAAAACACAAAAATGTATAAACACACAGTGGCATTTAATAACAACCAACCAATCCAAAAATTCATGACAACATCACACAAAAATTGAGAGTTCAATTTTCTTTCATATGCTTTTGAAAGAGCACCCTCAGTGTCCTTCATCTGGATAATTATTTGATTTGAATTTGACAGTTGAATAAGTGCAGATATTATGCAGAAAACTTTCATAATTTCTGCTACAAATGTGAAATTCTCAAAGTTTGTTAATCAAGTTCTGGTAGGTTGTGATTTGTTCAGTAAAGGCACATTTGTAAAATGGCTCAAACATCACCGTGAAAACCACTGCACAGAGATAACGACCAATAAAAAGATTTTTTTCATGAATAGAATATCAGACTTTTGAAAAGGGACATACAAAATGGACTTGCTGTAACATATTGCATCAAAAATCTGAAAATAGTCTAGAAACATGTTTATTACAATAGCTAAATGAGAAAACGGACAAATTATACGAGTTTCTTCCGGGGGGGTTACATTTTGAAAATGCAGTCATACTCCAGGTTCTGAATCTTTACACAACTTTCATCATGCACCGTGCTCAGGTTAATTCTTCAAACATGAAGAAGGTACAAGAATACATTCTGTTGAAAACTGATCACACAAGCAATGTGTCATCATTATCGACAATTCCGGCATTGGCTAGTCTTGACTCTGATGTCATAGCAAAGCAGCGTGTGAGGGATGTAACCAACATGTCATTTTTATGTGACTCTTTAATGCGCTAAACTCACCCAATGCAATAAGTTCTTGATTGGGTTCCACTTTGTAATCATTCTGTCGAGCTGTGAACAAGGACAAAGAGAGAGATTATACAGTGAAATATGTTCCTCTCTTTCAACCACACAAAAAGATAAAGTCCTCACAAGAAGGGATAGCTCAGAGAACAGGCAGCAACAGCGGCTGCCAATTTGATAAAACTTCATGCTGATATAAGGTTGGTACACTAAGGCAATAAATCATTTCAAAGTGCTAGGAAAAATCTGGAATACATTTCAAGAAAGTTACAGGTGCATAACTTTGACTAACAATGATTGAAACTAGCCTTTGCAGTGAACAGTGAAATTAGCCAACTTGAGGCCATGCATACTGCTTCACAAAAAAAACCAGCACAATTCAATTCCCAACTGGCCATCAAGATCATCTTTTCAATTTTCTACATTTGTTCCAACACTTCAGTAATATTAATATCCATGACAAGAATGACACAATCTCATTCTCACATGCACAATGGAGGACATTCAACTAAAGTGCGCAGGTGGTACATGTACATGTGCTTTGATTGACTTACCAACCAACAGGGTGCAATGACTTACCAAATATACGTGTGTATCTCAAGTTTAGAATGAACATGTGAATGTGGTGTCACCTAAGTGACTGGCGTCTCCTTACTTTCATCTGACTTATTCAGCTCCAGGCCAGCATAATACGCTTATTGTGAGAAACTTTTGAGCACTGCTTTAGTTTTGCCAAAGGGAGTAAATATTTTTCCTTACCAAATGATTTGCCAATTGCAATGGCCTCCAGGAATCCAATCAGAGGTACCATCGCTAATCCAAGTTCAAGTACCTGAAAACAAAAAGTATTTTTGAAAAGATTGTGTTATGAAAAACAAAATGAATATACTGTACAACATTTTCTTTTGCTCATTGCACTCTAACATTGTACTTTAACAAAATTGAAAACTTTCGTTTTCAGCCTCTTCCAAGTCAACTGGCTGCGGCTGCCAGTAGCACTGTTTCTGTGGGAAAACACTGAAGCCACTAGAGCCAGTGGATTCCATTGCACGTCTGTACATTTTTCCAAACCATAGCCAAAACATTCGGACACAACCTTAGCTGAAAAGACATGGCTGCTTCTCACGCTGTTGCTAATGTTGAACAAAGTTCATCTGAGCTGCCTTTGTTTTCATGATGGGACAAATTTACATTTCACAAAGATTACATTAAGCAACGATGGGTAAAATTCACCCCACATAAGTTTGGTTTTTAACAAAGAGAACAATTTAAATCTCAAGTTGTCTCCAAATATTAAAATTTCACAACTGGCATGCAAAATGGCAGCAGCACAAACGCAGCTGACTTAAATTTCCTACTTTTTTACTTTTTGTGAAGCAATGAGTTTCAGGTGAATAAATAATTCTTAATAACAATCAAATTTGGGGTCAGAGAGTGAAATTTGTAGCATTTCATGGCAATTTAAGATATGTACTTTCATGCAAGGTAATTAATTAATAAATTCTTGAAGTAAATCACCAAGACCTCTCTGTTTTAAAAAGTGACTGACTTGAAGCCCAATTTTCTTAAAAGTCAACTTTTGCACTGCACTGCAAAATCTGTCCCTTTGTGAAAGTGTCGACGATTTATATGATTCCATACACTGAACAAGTCTGGCTTTGAGAAATCCGGAAGTTGAAATGGTGGTAGCCCCTGCCTGACTGGCCCAGTGACAGTAACTTTGCCAGCAAGTCCTTGCGTTTCCAACGTCCAGGCTATAAGTGCTGTCATGACAACAACTACTGCATTACGACCTGAAATAAATGAACAAAATGTTACGCAAACAAAGGCATACAGAAATATGCCAACTGTTTACTAAACAAACAACCCTACAAACAAACAACAAACAAACAACAAATAAAACTAATCTGGCTCAGTACTTTATGTGAAACCTTGATCCTTAACTGATCAAAACCTAGCTACGTATAACATATTTTTTTACCACTTTCTTGGATTCGAATATTTCTGAATCTGATCAGTGCTTGAAGGGACTTCAATGTGCAGCATGTAATTAATATGACAAGTCCTTGGTTTGGTTATCTTAGGCTGTGTTTAAATTTATTTGGTTACGACTGGCAATCACACACAAGTCTATAGTGAAAGGCAGAAGCCAATGACTGGCAGCTCCTTTGGATGCATGTGTTATTTCCAGTCATTCCAATAAAGTTACATATGGCCTTACCTGTAGCTATGAGCCAGAGGAATTTCCATGAGCAACGCTGCCCTCTAGAGGGAGTATATGATTCATCCTTCTCCCAGCCCATCTCTTGATTCTTCAACCACTATAAGTAATCAATGTTTCTTTCATTTCTTTAGGCACAATAACACATCGTTAGACTCGGACTGAAATAATGTGACATCTTACTATTCCCATATATAGGTTTTAAACTTTATGCCAGGGCGCAATAGAGGGATCCCAATACGACGCTTTTAACGTCGATCTGCGCACTTCCGCATTTGAAAACGAGGCTGTATGTGTCAGTTTCAATTCTTAATACGATCAGATGATTGAAAGTAAGGAGTTAAGACACAAAATATATCAGGGTATGTTAAATTCAGACTTTTCAGGCTGCAAGTTTTTGTGGAAGAGTCTTTCAGAATGACTCGATGCGTGAAATCAAAAGAAAAAACAATGGCAATTTACCGCGAACTAACACACCTGCGATGGCAGTGTATCTTGTGCAGTGGGCGTGGTTTAAACTGAAGTAGCGTCACACTTACGAACCGGATACTGCATGTACTGTGTCGACTCCGCGTGTGCGCGCGACGAAGTTCAACACAGAGAGCCTCGGTTTCGATGCGGATATGCGCAAACGGTGAAATCCATCTATTCAGCTTTCGAATTCATTTCACTCAGTCAACATTCATCGTTGTGTTGGATGCCGTCGATGGGACCAACAGTTTGGGCCACAATACATTTCCAAGCAACCTCCGAGTGCAAAGTCTCTAGATTTAGCTGGGTATACAGAACTAAACATGGTGCTTTAATGTGTACACTCTAGATCTGTACACCATAGGAAGTGGTTAAGCTCAACAGCTTAACTAAAATACCTCCATATCCAGTATTGGTACACGACGCTCAATGGTCACATTTCCACTAACGTGGACAACCATACGTAATCTGCTGTTGCTAAATCAAAGACTTTCAGGTGACAAAACAGACGCATGTAAACACAGACTGAATATTACAGAATACAACAGACCTATTGGGTGACTGCAGTATATAATGCTCCTTCAACTAGCAGGATGTTGTGACTAATTGCCAAAATACATGCACACTTACGTTTGAGGAGTGAGGTGCATTAGCAGCAATGCATGCACACTTACGTTTGAGGAGTGAGGTGCATTAGCAGCAATGCATGCACACTTACGTTTGAGGAGTGAGGTGCATTAGCAGCAATGCATGCACACTTACGTTTGAGGAGTGAGGTGCATTAGCAGCAATGCATGCACACTTACGTTTGAGGAGAGAGGTGCATTAGCAGCAATGCATGCACACTTACGTTTGAGGAGTGAGGTGCATTAGCAGCAATGCATGCACACTTACTCTTATACAGTAATGGTGTCTCCTCAGATAACTCCATGAGATATTTAAAACTACATAAAACTAATAAAATCAGTATGCTAAAAAACAGTGTTTGCCGGTGACAACCTTTTGGGTGCCACAGTGTATTGTAAATCATAAACAATTGTACAAAACTAATCAGGGAAAGAAAGCGGGATTCTTCATTAGATTGGAAACAATAAATTCTGGAGTAGATAGGATTAATGAATTCAGTCAGTAATCTTACCTGAAATGCCAGAAGAATTACAATACTACATACACCAACCAAGACATCCCAAGGCCTGGAAAGAATAAAATGAGACTCCATCATACAAACACAAAACAAATGGAATACAAACATGACAAATGAATGCACAGTGCAACAGAAAAATGTCATTTGGGAAAAATATTTCCCCCTCACTATCCCTTTTTTTTTTGCTTTGATCCTTTCTGATGAACCTATATCCATTAATGTGCCAGAAAACTTACACAATTATCCATTTAAATGTCTACAAAAGCCCTCATAATGTAACGGGAAGAGGGCTACTTTCCTTAAGGCCGGTTCCTCATACAGTACATATCAATATTGTTTTTTTTTTTCAACACACCTGAATTCATGAGGTGACAAACGGAAGGTCAATTCCATGAGGTTTATCAGCAACTTCATGAAACCAATCATACTATTGCCCTTTTTTTTCTGTGCTGCCCTGCAATGATCACATATTATGAGCCTTATATACTCAGTGCTTTCCACAAGCTTGTCTTGACGAGATCACCTGAGCAAGACTCAACCAAAAACCTTCTACTTTTAAGGACAGATGTCTCACAAAGCGCTACCAGTCAGCTAGCCAAGGTTAGCTGGCCAGCATACGGGGTGGCACACTGTAGGCAAACAGATGGTTTTTCTACTGTATAGTCATGCTTGAAATGGGAACTAGTGCTAAGGCCCGAGTGCTACGTCCTCACAAGTCCTCTCAAAAGGCAAGTCAAAAGGAGAATTTATTACAGTTCATTTGAATAGCCTGTGACTAGGACTCGAGATGGTCTCGGCTGCAACAGTGGCTGTGATATCATCTACTTTTAGCATGTGGATAATTCCAGAAATGAGGGGTCCAAATGTGTGACATTTTTGTGTCCCTGTTACATCTGACCTTTGTAATTTGACATGGAAATATCACAGGGATTGATTATGAACTATTACTGTTTGTTTGGTAGATAATTTGCATTAATTCATCACTCTTGGAAAATAGAAAATGTGTTCTGAACTTACAAAATCATACGTCAGATGTGACAGGGACACAAAAAAAAATGGACCCCTAATTTCTGGAATTACCCATGTGCTGTTGTGCTATTTTGAACAGGTGAGGACCTAACTTCTCACACAGGATCCAGCTCCACCCACACACTTCCCATGGGCACAACGTACGCAACTGAAGTAGCCCCTTAAATTTCTTCTTTCTTTCGTTCTTCTTTGCCAATGAGGGAGTCGTGCAGACAGCAGATACTCAGGTACGGAAAAGCAGGTACGGCACTTAAGGATTTGTACTAATGGAGTTGCTTATGTTGAATGTCTGATCAAAAGGTGTCACAGTGCTGTGTAACCACACGGGCAGCCCTGTAGGCAAATAACTTACTTGGTTTCCTTGATGTGCTGAAATGTCAAAATGACATCGTCCAGAAATGTCTCCGAGCTGAAGTGTATACCAAATATGTGTTTGACCTGTCCAAAGGCTATGGTGATGGCAGATATGGAGGTGAAGCCAGCTATAACGCCAGCGGAGATGAAACCAGTCAGGGCACCTGATGGTGAATGAATAACACAAGTTGATTTGCTCAATGGACAAATTCTTGTTCATGATTTAGACCGAAACATGGATGGATGGAAGCATTGTGTTTAATGTCAACATTTGCTCTTTAGAAGTTCCCGTTTGACGAAGCAAATGAGGTCCAAAAGTTTTTCACCTGCAGGGTTTTGAGGTTTCAATTTTTTAGTATAAAAATAAGATCCTTTTATAAAATGGGCACTGTGTTCCCCTCCCATCCGGAAAACAAAGGAGCTCCCCCAACCCCCCTAAAAAAGAAAAAAAATAAACCAAACTGAGAGAAAGTTAATTTATTTGCTCTAGTTCATTTCATGTCCTTCCTAAAGAATGTAAAATGCCTCCAACTGTAGCCTCACCCGCACGCACAAAAGCTATAAAATGTCACATTAAAAAAGGTTCCAAATTTTTGGCCCTCCTCAACAAGTCCCCCCCCAGAAAGAATTGGTTCTAGATCTGCCATTGTATACAGGTCATCTGTGGTCCGACACCAATACGATTTTGTGACAGCATTCAACCAAAAACAGTACTCTAACTTTCTCTTGTAGATTATACAGCCACCATTTTTTTGTGGAACAAACTTTCAAGACCTTCTATGGACCTTTCTTTAAAACTTCTGAGTTTAAGACGGGCCTGAGTAAACTCACCCAAATGAAGAATGCCCAGTAAGACCTGAACAACACCGGCAAAGAATGCTAAGAGGACTGCATAGGCAGGATCGTGTAATAACGGATTCTTGGGGTCTGTCTTGCCAAAGGTGGCAACGAGGAGGGACATGATGGCGGTGGGTCCAACGCTGATGTCCTTACTGGTCCCAAGGAAACAGTAAACAAAGCATCCCATGTAGGCAGAGTAGAGACCATACTGCAAGACAGGGGAAAAGACACCATCAATTCTCTCTCAGGAATAGTTCAGTTTAGGGCTAGGGACAGTACTTGCCCAGCATACAAATTATAGCAAAAATCACCCCAGGCTACTGAAACTTGTTTCCTTGGTTGCTCAATGGGGTAGTGATAAATTCAGCAATCAAAATGCAGCAATAGTAGATCAAAATACAAATTATGCATTTGGTATTTAATAAATATCGGATCAAATTAAACTGAATAACTCTGTGATTTTTTCTCCCAGCATGACAGCAAGCATGCGTGATACATTCGATATCGCATGAACAGAGTAGACTGGTGGGCTGTAATATGCATGGGACAGCACAGCTCATGGTAGGGTACCAAACAGGTGTACACTATTTTCTCACACATTCCATATTCACGAGCAAAACTGTGACGTCATCCAAGGAAGAAAACCTATATGTTACATAGTTCATGCAAAAAACTGCAGAAATTTTTTCTCCATGTTTTATTGGCCAATTCAATGTTGTCCCTGTACATAGCAATAAATCAGAGAGCAACTCTTTCTCAGAAATATTTTTAGTGAATACTTTTTTGGCTCACAATTTCAAGAGAAAAACCTGTAGCCCAAAAGATGTCTTCCCTCAATGACATCACAACAACAGTGCCCTCAGTCGTCCAGTACACATGGACAATTAAAAAAAGTCTGTAAGTCAACATGTACTAACTTGAACAGGAAGTTTAGCAATGCTAGCATAGGCCAGGCCCTGAGGTAGGACAGTCAAGGCAACGGTGAGCCCCGCTATGAAGTCGTGGAGCAGGTAGGAGGGACGATACCTTGGCAGCCACAGGCTGATGGGGAACCGTTTCTGCCAACTGAGTTTACTGCAATACTTCTCCACGGCACCTTTCACGCTGAAGCCTTCCATTTTATTTCTCGAGGGGAAGAAATCTTCAGGGACAGATCAACAGAGCAAAAGTTCATTTACGGACACTTGGTGAGTTTATCTATCAGGGGCTTAAATCCACTTGTTGACCAAGGGGAAGGGCTATTAAATCTGCTAAACCTCCCCCATTTTTCTGAGGTAGGAAACAAATATAAACCGCCCGTCTATCAAAGACCAATTGTGATGCACACGTGCACCTCTGGTGTATTTGAAAGTAATCTCTTCACAGTCCATACATAATGTGCATATCAAGAACAGCCCTTAATGAAAGTGGAAGCGTTCCGTAGCTGGCCAACAAATAATCGGCATTTGCCAATTATGCCATGTATGCCGTCATTAGCCATTGCCTTTCTATAATTTACTGTTGTGGAAGAATGCTCCCTCAAGGTGAGTAAAGTCGAAGCATGTCAGAGATTTCAAACCGGATTGACTGATCATGCCCAAAATATGCACTTCAGTTCAGTTCAGTTAACTTTATTTTCCACATAATATTACTCAACAGAAACAGATTCACAAAGTGTAATACATGTGGATGGGGCCCCCAAGAAGTTTATTTATAAAATACTTTAATAGGCCTAATTGGCTAAGTAGGGACGAAAGAGTTCCATATACCGACAACACTTGATACCCTGTGCAAAAAATTATGAGACTTGTTTGAAACACCTACATGTAGGTCTAAGTGTTTTCTAAATAAATGCCTCAGAATCTTCGCAGGCTCAATTTCAGTTTTTAGCTATCACTTTCCGACGGCTGTTAAATTTAAGAGACAATTGGTCATGATTAGTGTTGTCCCTATATGGAACTCTTCTCTATGGGTTTCTTGACAATCATTTGGCACTCCATCCCCTGCCGTCCCTGTGCACATGGCCTTGAAAGTTGAATGTACATGCACTGTGGATCAGTAACCCCGCCCCCCCTCACAACCCTCACAGCAACTCACAGGCACGACCGTGGTCATGGGGAAGGATAAAACGTAAAAGGAAGTGGGCCATCTTACTAAATTATATGCGTTACTGTGAAATCCTGTTGGCGAAAAAAGTTTTCCCATGGACACATGATAGTTGATACTGTAAGCTCGCTGAATGCACCTCCATAGAAGAACGGCCCGTCCGAGCTAGCTGACGTTGGTTATCACAGGTGTTTTTGCCATTTTGGTTTTCGTACCACGTTCTAGATTTCAACCTTTGTCCCGACGTCCTGTGATGTGATCATGTGATAGGAGTTGTGTGACATGTGATTACTTTTATTAAGGCCACGAGAAAGAGAGGGCGCTGTTAATGATATATTTTCCGGAACTAAACTTTCATCACTTTTGCCACTGCTTTTGGACCTCTAATTAACGCCGTGAATATGAAAACTATAATTTTTTGGTGATAACTTTTAATCAATTTGTGACGTTGTTAGAAAGCAATTATCGAGCGTCCATTTTTAAAGCATTTCACTTTAAAATTGAAGTGTCGATCGTCCGACCGGTCCAAGTTGAAATATGAAGCAAGGGCGGGGAAGATCTTTGGGGGGACATGATTTTGCATGTTTTTACCTTTAATCCACTAGCGTGCAAGTGGCGCACTTCAACTTTCATTTGACTTTTCTCACACAGTAGTGTTGCCAAACTTCTTGTTGATAAAAAATCCCTTCTTATTTGTTTGGTTTGATAAAAAAAATCCCTTCATATTTATTTGGTTTGATACTGGTACCATAACCTTCATAACATATACATGTACACATGCTGTTGATCCCATGTAAACAAAGCCCAGTGTCATAAAATTTCATCCGAAATACCACGTACACAATTTGCTCAAACTACACAAAAGGCCAAACTGCAAGTTCTCTATCACTGTTTTCCAAAATCGCTCGTGTTTGGTGTTTATTTCCAATTTTGCTTTTGAAATGTGAAGTGCACGGCACTGAATCAACTGAACTTTCAACCCGTCATGGTTCCTTTTTTTCATCCCTGAAGTAGAATCCTCAGTACTTTTCATCAAGGCTTTTCTATGGCTGATCAAGGGAAAACAATATGGACACACCTCATGCGCCATATTATTTTGCGTTCAATTTTTGCCACCCCCCCCGCAAAGATTGA